TCCGCCCATGCGGACGAGAGACACACTGGCGAAGTCTGTTTGATGAAGTAAGAGCGAACCGTGTCGCGTGTATTCCTTTTGTGACTGCGCGTGACTGTGTGAGTGTGACTAGTAGTGAAATGAATATTCACACACAAAATCCCCGCCATGATGAGATCGACATTGTCTCCCCTCCGTGTGTTTGTACTGTCTGCGGACTGATTCCGAGAGTCGTTTTCGTCGCGGTGTCTCTCTCGCACATATGGGATGTTCGTATGGGCGCGAGAGAGACAACGACTCTCGGAATCAGTCCGCTGGCTGGCGGTCGCGACGCCGAGCGCGCTCCGTGCTTGCTGAAGGGTAAACGGCCAAACTGTGCCATAAAACCAAAGGGGGATATCTCTTATGGGTGCGCGTGGCCCGTCTGCGCAGCGCACCGGCAGCAGAGGTGCCAACATCTAAACCGAAAAGTGAGAGCCGACCCAGCGTGGTCCGCCAAGATGCTGCGCTGGACCGCTGTTCTCATGTGAGATCGGTAGCGCAGTGGTTAGCGTAGCCGCTAACGGCTCGGGGGATGCGGGTTCGACACCCACCCGGGCAGACCGCTTTTACCGCAATTTCTGTTCTCTACGTTGGTACCACTGCCTTGGGGGCGCTGACGTCACGATTAGGAGGCCGTCTTTCGTAGCATGGAGTTATACCCCTTTGCATAAAACGAATCGGGTGGTTTAATCGGGTTGTCCTCCTCCGACTGGCCGCACCGCGGGGCTTACAGTGTACAGCCATCGGACAGCGATGACGATGTGGTCCGAGCGTCTCGCCGCGAAGGCGCGCATGGGATGCAAAGCAACGCGAAGGGACTCCTCGTTTCGAATTTGGCGCGAAAACGGGAGTGCTCCATTGGCTCCATTGCCAGCGTCCAGGCATGATACTACGTAGTGTGCCGGTCCAGGCGGGCAGGCGGGCAGGCGGGCAGGCGGGCAGGCGAAGGCGGGCCCGACTCGAGTCCGAGTGGAGCGGACCAAAGTAGGCAGCCGGTCACAATACCGTGAAAAAGCGCCTTTGATCGGCGGAGGGAACACGAGGCCTATGAGGGGCGGGAGGGCCCCGGCCGTCGAAGAGAGAGAGAGAGAGAGAGGGAGGGAGGGGAAAAGTATTGGAACAGCGCGCGGTTATTTACCTCGCGATGCTGCACGCACTCCCTCTGCCTCAGTGTTTGCGAGGCGACCGCGGGGGCGGAAAAAGTCGGCCCGCCCAACAGAGTAACAACAACAACAACAAAAATAGCGACAACACACCAAAAAGGTTTTTCCAGCTGTAGTACCTCCCACTCGGTGGGGCGGGCTGCTGTCCCCGCTCCTGTCCTGCTGCAAAACATGCTGCTTCGCCACGCCCCGCGTTTTCGGTCACCCTTTGCGACAAGGCGTGTGCACGCCGAAGGTCGTAATATCCGCGTTCGCCTTATTGACAGCACTGATATTTGCTTCGGCGCGGCGGCGACACGCCCCCCACCCCTCCCCTCCCCTCCCCTCCCCTCCCCTCCGCCGTGCCGTCCGTTTCCAATCTCGCCGCGGAATGAGACAGAAATGAAGCGCCTCCCCGCCGCGCCGCCGCAGCAGACTGACTCCGAGAGTCGTTTTCGTCGCTCTGTCTCTCTCGCACTCATGGGGCGTCCCGTGTAGGTGCGAGAGAGGCAGAGCGGCGGAAACGACTCTCGGCATCAGTCCGCAGACCGCCAGACCGCCACCTAGTTCGGCGGCAAGGCGGCATAACAACCAGCAGGCAACAACGGCCAGACAGCATTTTTCCTTCGAGATGAATCTGCGAGGGGAAATCGCCGCCCGTTTCGCGGTTCGCTGCTCTGTCCCTCTCGCACTTATCGCATTGTGCCTACGCCTGAAGCGCGCCGGTGCCGATAAGCCCCCTGCTCTTCCAGATCCAAATGTGGGAGGGAATTCCGAAGGCACGCCACTGGCAGAGCGAATGCAGCGGAACGCTTCACCTTAGTTTTAACAGTGTGCAGAGCCATCCCAGCCATCCGCAAGACCAACCAGTTAGGCAAGGCCCAGGAACGGCATTGAAGGCTCCCCTCCCACCCCACCCCGCCCACCGCACTGACCTTATCAAGCGGCGTTCCACTACACAACATGTAAACAGAAAAAAAGGAAAACAAAGGGACACTCTTTACCGGGGCTTGAACCCGGGGACTTTGAATTGCGGTGCGGGACGCGTGGCCACTAACCCAGCCGTTCTGGAGCGCTCACGGCTCAGCGTGGCTCAGAGTGGCTCAGCAGAGACCCGGACATTATTTTGAACTTTCAAGACTCGGGCCGCCTAATCACTCAGCAAGCCAAAGGAGGCCGACGGCAGGCCGACGGGGACGAGGGAGTGGCCCGGGCGGAGGGAACGCAGCGGCCCAGCGGCCTCACGCCGAACAGCGTGAGCAGCGCCCCGTCTCTCTGTCCCTCTCGCACCCCTGCGGGGCGCCCCGTGGATGCGAGAGAGACAGAGCGTTCGGAATGAGCCTAGGGCAGCCAGGGCCCTGACTGGCTAAAGAGATCCACGCGGGCTAAGTCCGGGTAAGCCGACCTAAATAGGGGGTTGGCCAGCCCGGCCCAGCGCGGCCCAGCGCGGCCCACCGCACCGTGACGACAAATGGCAGAGCCTGGGCCTGCCAGTGCCCTCCGTGCAGGCCGTGGCCGTGACCAAGCACGCCGTGGCCAAGCACGCTGCCACCGCGGTGCGCGCGCGCACGTGCGTCCGGCGGCACTGCTTCATGTCCTTCGGAATAGAGCCGAGCCGGCTGCCAGCTGTCCCTCGCCACGCGATGCCACGCGCGGTAGGGACGGTGGTTCGAATCCCCTCACCAGCTACCGCCACACGTGCGGATCGGTCAACTAACAAGCCTTCATGGCCACGTGCGCGCGTGCACCGCTTTCCGATTTGCAGGTCCGCGGTTCGACTCTGCGCACTCCCCTCCTTTTTGCTTCTCAAAGCATCAATGTAAAAAATTCACGCGTTGCACGCTGAAAACCTCCATCTCTCGAGCCGCTGCAGGTACAGAGGGACCCAAACAGCACCGATGATGATAATGGATTCGCGAAATCGGTCAAAAGGGGCTTTGCGTCCCGACCGTGGCCTTTTGTTATTGTTTACGTTTTTTTAGTTAGTTTTGCCCTGTTGTGCTTTTTACAGTTTTAGCGGAGCCACGGCTCAGCCACTGCGGACCCATCTGCATCCACTCCGAGCCGTCCATCAGAGGAGGGCCGGCAGGCCGGCAGAGCGGCAAAGTGCATGGGCAAGCACGGGCAGCGATCCCTCTCCCTCCAACGCGCCGCTCTGCCTCTGTCTTTGTCTCAACCGGATCGAAAACGGGAAGCGTCCTCCCCGCGGCCTTCCCTCGTCCCCTTTCACTAACCCCGTCCCGGTGACTTACCGAACCGCGTGCGACGACGGCGTCGCCCCGCCGCCGCCGCCACCCTCGCCCTGGCCGACATCACTTAGTGCCATCATGTGGTGCGGCCAACATCTTGATCCCTTTCCCCAGGGCCATTACTTTCCCCGGGCACATCCCCGGCCCCTCCCTCGAGGCCGTGGGGCCGTCCTCTCCCCGGGCGGTGGGGCCTCGGCCTCGGCCGCCCCACCAGCAGGGAGGCCGCCGCCGTGGTTGCTGCACGCGGTGCTCAAGGCCTGCCTGCACGCTCCGAGAGTCGCTTTCGCCGCTCTGTCTCGCTCGCACTCATGAGGGGTTCCGAATAGGGGCGAGAGAGACAGCGCGGCGGAAGCGACTTTCGCGGGATCAGTCTGCTGGCGCCTGGCGGCCTGGCGGCGGGCCGGGCCAGTTAGGATCAGTCTCCCCGCTTCATATCTCGGCCGGGCCCTGGGCGGCCCTGGGCGGCCCTTGGCCCCACCGAATCCTTGCTGCTGCTTGCTCCAATTTCATTACGACCAATCCCTCCCGGAGCGAAGGGCGGCGCCTTGGTTGCGAGAGAGGAGGGGGGGGGAGGGGACGCACTCCCCGAACTACTCTTCACTAATGCACACGGCGCGGTTAATTACGGAGACAGTGTAGCGGTGTAATCCGTCCGCCACGTGCCGCGCGGGCACACCGCGAGCACACCGTAAGCCGCGCCTTGTTCATTACAGAGGCGGCCCGCTTAATCAGTCCGGACTGCTGGCCGATTAGACCGTTGGCCGTTATTGCCCGCGAACCGCAATCAGACTGAAGGGGGAGTCACACTCGGGGCGGACGAGCGAACGACGCGCGTCGCGTGCGTAAGAAATTGTCACCGCTCAGACTAGCCTCACGCGCGGACGAGGTTCCGCGAGTCGCCGCGAGATGGCGCTGCGCGCGCCGAGCCGCCGCACGCTCGCGGTGGCGACCTAGGTTAGCGTAGTACACTGATTCCCACCAGGGTTCCACTGCCGTTTGTGTGTCGCGAACAGAGCCGCGGCCGATTACCGCAGGTGAGTTTCATGGAAACCGCTAATAGCTACGGGAGGAGCTTGCTGAGACGCGGCCTACCGCAACGCCACTCGAGCTGACCCTGCCCTGCGGCCGCGGCGCCCCAGCGAGCCAAGCGGCCCGAGGGCGCGTCGCCCCTCCTGCCCCCTCTCCCCGAGCCCCGCGCCAGCAGCGGGGCGGAGGCGCCCGCCGCCACTCAAGTTGAGGCGGGGGATGGCCGTCGAGGCCCGTGGAGCCGGATTGGCTGGATCGGGTTAACGTAGCGCTGCGCAGCGCGTCTCCAGCCTCCCGGCCGCCCCGTCCAGGCCCTGTCGCAAGCCAATTATGGCCCTTCACTTTGGCCCAATAAAAACCAGGGCCAATGGGCCGTGCGGCCGCCTTCACGTCGCGCTGGCTGCCTGCTGGACTGCCTGCCTGGCTGCCAGCCCGTCTGGCCGCCAGACGGCTTCATCCTTGTCCCCGAGGCCGCTGCGCGCTGCGCACGCATGTCGCCCGGGTGGCCTACCCTGCCCGCCACAGGCGCTCCGGCGGCGTCGCGGTCGCCGAACTTGCTTACCTTGGTGTCGTTGTAGATGAGCTGCAGCGTGTAGCCCTTGATGAGGCCGAGCTGGTTGATCCTGTTCACGGCCATCTTGGCGGCGGCCAGCTCGCTGCGGCCGTGCGGCCGGTCCACGCCGTGCATGGTGAGCTCGAAGAGCCCCAGGATGGTGACGCGGTTGTCGTAGGTCTCGCGGCGCGGCCCGCGCACCACCGCCGACGCCTGCGGCCGCGCCTCCTGCCCCACCTGCACGAGTGGAGGACAGTTGCAGTGCCGCCACATTAGTTTGGAAAAATTTCTACGATGCACCAGTCTCGAAAGGGTTGCCGACCTCAGCCCGCCAACTGGGCAACATCTGGGGTGGGGATTGCTTTTGAAAAGTTGCCTTAGAGCAGTGGTTCTCAACCTTAGGGTCGCGACCCCAAGTGGGGTCGCGAAAAAATTTTAAGGGGTCGCGGCGAGGTAGCTGGGGTTGTGTTTTGGGCCGATTTTAAGCAGCCACTGCGTCTGATCCGAGGCGGGCATTTTACTCCCTCAACCGGCAATTGGTCTTTGAACCGTCCTTTAGCATGCCTTTGTTACGGAGTGTGATTATCAGTCTTAGTTTGGGAGCAGTATTGTCTCTAAATTTACCAAAACGGTCAGAAATGTCTTTGAAAAATCGTGTTTTGGGCCTATTTTAAGCAGCCACTGCGTCTGACCCGAGGCGGTATTTCGTCCTCCTTCAACGGGCAATTGGTCTTTGGACCTTCTTTTAGCATGCCTTTGTTACGGAGTGTGATTATCAGTCTTAGTTTGGGAGCAGTATTGTCTCAAAGTTGGCCGAAACGCTCAGAAATGTCTTTGAAAAATCGTTGTGCCTGTTTTGGTCAACTTTGAGACAATACTGCTCCCAAACTAAGACTGATAATCGCATTCCGTAACAGAGGCATGCTAAAGGAAGGTCCAAAGAACAATTGCCCGTTGAGGGAGCAAAATGCCCGCCTCGGATCAGACGCAGTGGCTGCTTAAAATCGAACCAAAACATGATTTTTTAAGACATTTCTGAGCGTTTTGGCCAACTTTGAGACAATACTGCTCCCAAACTAAGACTGATAATCGCACTCCGTAACAGAGGCATGCTAAAGGAAGGTCCAAAGACCAATTGCCCGTTGAGGGAGCAAAATGCCCGCCTCGGATCAGACGCAGTCGCATGCTAAAGGAGGGGTCCCGTGGGGTCGCGAAACTTTTCCTGGGGGTCGCGGAAATTTTTGGCTACAAATTTGGGGTCGCGAGCCGAGAAAGGTTGAGAACCGCTGCCTTAGAGGTTTGTTGGCAACTCCTTCGACACTGGTGCATCGTTGGAATTTCGCCCTCTTATTTTGCAACAAGGAGCAGTGTGGAACGGTGAGAGGGAGAGGGGCAACGATTTGAATTCGAATTCGAAGCGGAGAGGAGTTGCCTCTTTCATAAAGTAAACTCGGACCGGGAACAGCTTCGTTGGGGACTCTGCAACCTAAAAAAAAAAAACTCGGGCTTCAAAGGGGCTCCTCCGAGGTAATAACTTTTTTATAAACAAGAATAAAAACGGGGGGAGTAGAATACAAGTAGCGAACTGGGCGTCCCATGAAATCGTATTTATGTACCTCAGGGGCAAATGAGGTGTGTTTAGTATCGAAACCGACCGTCTCGCTTACCTCTTTGGCGCGCGCCTCGGACCGCTTCTCCGGCTTGGGCTTGACGTGCTGCTCGCCCTGCAGCACGGCCGCGGACAGCGCCTCCCTGGTCGCGTTGTCGTCGTCGACCAGGACGTCGTCGTCCGTGAAGCCCTCCCACTCGGGCGCGTCCGTGCCCTCGCCGTCGTCCTCATCGTCCGGGGGCGGTGGCACGCCCAGCATCATCCTCGCCGCCGGCGTCCTTGGCGTAGTCCTTGGTGTCGCCGGCGACGTCACCGAGGTCGTGGTGGGCGGGGACAGTATCTCCCTCCATGTTGGCGCTGGGGTGTCCGTGACGCCAGAGCGCGATGACGGCGTTGGTTTTGATTGTCCGGTGGTCGACGGTGTCTCTGTCGATAGAGTGCGCGGCAATGGGACGATTGGGTTGGTCGTCGACGAATTGGAAGTTGCGGTGGATGTCAACGGGGTAGACGTCGGTGACGCGGGCGTCGACGGGGTAGACGTAGCCGTGGTGGGCGTCGACGGGGTGGGCGTCGGCGGGGTGGGTGTCGACGGGGTGGGCGTCGGCGGGGTGGACGTCGACGGGGTGGACGTCGGCGGGGCGAGCCCGCAGGAATCCGAAGGACATGGCGGCGTTTCGGTAACCGCTGCGGGCGTAGCTTCAGCCTGGAAAGGCCGCGGGGTGGGAGGGGAGGCGAAGGGGGCAGGAGAGGAGCTAGAGGAGAAGGAGGAGGAGAAGAAGAGGGGAAGCAGGAGAAGGACGATGGCGTTGGCAGGGGTCGGCGTCATCACAGGGCCCAGCTCAGGCCGGGCGTGTCGGAGGGCGGCGTGGCGTGGCGTGGCGCATCTGCAACACACAAAGGCACGGCTAGGCACGGTGGGTCGGGGCATAAGCGGCGTAAGCGGCGTAAGCGGCGTAAGCGGCGTAAGCAGCGCTAGCAGTCCCCTCGGCCTCCCGTCTCGTTTACAGCGACGCGTCCCTCAGTGCAATCTTGGAGTTTAAACTGTGTCGGTGCGCCGCCAAGGCACAGCCGCGCACACAACCCCCTTTTCAAGGATCAACAGCTCGTTATAGTGCTCCGCGGTGCTCCGGCCCGGGCGGTCTGGTCTGGCCGCGCGGCACACTGATTCGTCGCTCTGTCCCTCTCGCACTCATGGGGCGTCCCGTGCAGGTGCGAGAGAGACAGAGCGACGAAAACGACTCTGGGTATCAGTCCGCAGGGCTGCACAGCGCACCGAGCGCGCTCCAGTCGTTATGCTTGCTCCGCGCTGCCGCGCTGCCACACTGTTGCTCACTCCCATTAGCCTGCTGGGGGTCTGGCTGGTAGGGATGGGCACTTAATGCAAATAAAAACACCTGATTATGCGGTAAAATTTTGTGGTATTATGCGGGACTTATGCGACTAAAATGGCCCAAAAATGCGCTTTTTATGCGCAAAAAATCCTTCTTTTCTGCAAAAAATGCAAAAAGGGGCAAAAATTGAAACAGAGGGCAAAATGCATCAAAAGGGTTAATTTTTAAACAAACCAAAATGGTCACAGTTTAAATTTTTTATTGTGAATATATTAAAAACTTCGATCAGTGGGAACGCAACCAGCCAACCCTCCTCCACTGACAACCTGCACCACGCGAAAAATTCAAATTTTAACTTGTGTTTCTGCTTTAAAACTTCTAAAAACACGATAACCGACCAAAAGAAATAATCTCAAGAATCAATTATAACAGCAAAATGCGCTTTTTGGGTTCAAAATGTGAATTATGCGAGAAAAATGCGTGAATTATGCGCATTATGCGTAAATGGCCAATTATGCGACCATTATGCGATTTATAAATGTGACAGGCAATGCACCCGGACTCCAAACATATCAAAATTTTTCCATTTGAAATAAGTTTAGAAATTATGCAAAATATGCGCTTGCATATAGTGCCCATCCCTACTGGCTGGGCCCCGCCAAGGCGGCGGGTCTGTCCCTCCTTGCGAGGTGAGTGAGTGGGGACAGTGCAGTCATTAATCCCGCCTGTCTGCCTGCCTGCTTGGCGCGCTGCTTGGCGCGCTGCTTGGGCGTGCGGCCAGCCCGGTGCTTCGCTGCACTGTCTCACTTGCACCCCTCCGAGCGGCCCCATGAGTGCGGGAACGACACATCTCACTCGCAAACAGCCCGGAGGTGCAGCCGGCTTGGGTCGGCAGTGACGGGTATGCCAGTCAGCAGACTGATTCCGAGAGTCACCGCTCTGTTGCACTCGTGGGCGTGCCGTTTGGGCGTGCCGTTTGGGCGTGAGGGGGAGAGAGAGACAGAGGGACGACGCACTGTTCTGTCTGTATCAGCCAGCAGCCTCACCGAGAGAAATTGGGAAAGTTTACCGCCTGAACGACGGACCTGGAAGCTGGCAAGCTGGCAGGCCCGACCGGCGGCAGACCGGTAAGGCAAGCAGGCAAGCGCAACACGTAGCCACGGACGCAACGACGCACAAGTGCGCGGTACAGTCGTTGCCAGTGGAAAACCGTGCAAAGTGCCAAACTTTGGCAGTTGTCAGCAAATTCGAGTAGTACAAGCACGTTGAGGGAGGGTTTCGGCCACAGCCAGATTCGACGCAGTGTGGCCATCCATGTCTCACCACATTCACATTTTTCAGCGACCCGATAGGGTCAAATCCTCCTTGGATGGGACCGAGTTTCGCACTTGCGGCACGATTGCGGTTTATTTTGGCGCACCGCCTGCACCGCACGGCAGCACCTCTTCGCCCGTCTCCTTTCTGGCTCGTTAACGCGGGCCAATATTTGAGCAAGCACCGGCAGGGGGAAGGGGAGGGGGAACTCCGTACTCCGTCTGGGGCCGCAGTGCGCGCAGTGCGTTTCACACACGTGCGCGTCGCGTGCGCGTCGCGTGCGCGGCGAACGCAGACAGGGCCTGCTGCTTCCAGCCAATCAACTCCGCAGGCTCATTCCGAACGGCGACTTGGTCGTGTCTCACTCGCACGCGCGTGGGGCGTTCCGCAGGGGTGCGAGAGAGGCGGAGCGGCGAAGCGCTGCGTGCCGCGTCGCCCGTCTGCCTCGCTCCGGCGCTGCAAAACGCGAATTTAATTGGAGCGCAGCTGCTGCTGTCTCGGTGAGGGAGGGAGAGGGGAGGGGAGCGCGCTGCGTGGTGCGACACGGCCTCGGACACGGCCGCTGGATTGATTGGGGAATTGACAGCGTGACAGCGCGGCTTCCGGCTTCAGGCTCGGCCTCAAGGCTCGGCCTCTGGCTGGGTTTACCTGCCTCCCCCGGCAAGGCCAGGCCAGGCCTCCCCCGGCCGAGAGCCTAGGCCGCCGAGGCCTCCACCCCGCCAAGTGGCGGCGTGACGAGCAGTTGTGCACACCAGCGACAGCGCCATAATCGCCTGCAAGGGGGCTCGGCTGCGGTGGGAGGGGGGGGGGAGGCTCCGTGGTATTTGCGGGATCTGAGCAGTTGATAGCTTCGAGATCATACACTGTGCGCCAGGGCCACGGCGAGGACCGCCGGGCCGCCCCACCGCGGGGACCACAAGCCAAGGGCACTACACGGCCGCGAGGGGGAGGGGCGCCATTGCAGCATCCACCCAGTCCGGGCCATGGGCCGCCAGGGCCGCCAGCAGACTGATTCCACTGCACGATCAGTGGGGGGCGCGTGGGGGTTTTCGGCCTCACCCGGGTCGGCACCGTCTAGTCGGGCCATTTAGTGGTCGGCTCGATCGGGATCAAGCCAGACGGGTAATTATACCGAATAGCGGCCCCACCTATTTAGGGGAAAAGTTTGGTATCATTGCTGATGAGTACTGTTCGAAACTGCAAGAAATATGCGGCGCTTTTGAAGGATATTTCTATAAATGTTTATTTATGTATCCCACCCTAACCTCAAACGACCGCTCTGGCCGGCGCTAGCTGGGGGTTTTCTGGTCACAGCGTCTAAACCGTTCAACTTAGAGGGGTATAGTAAGCGAGTCGATTGTAGGTCTCTGTGCAAGGAACAATCGGCTCGCTTACTATACCCCTCTAAACTCAAAGGTTTAGACGCTGTGACCAGAAAACCCCAGCTAGAGCCGGCCGGAGCGGTTGGGTTCTTTTGGCTCACATTGTACATAAATAAACATTTATAGCAATATCCTTGAAGAGCGCCGCATATTTCTTGCAGTTTCGATCAGTACTCATCAATACCTATGCAATGATACCAAACTTTCCCCCTAAATAGGTGGGGCCGCTATTCGGTATAATTACCCGCGTGGCTTGATCCCGATCGAACCGACCACTACATGGCCCGACCAGACGGTGCCGACCCGGGTGAGGCCGAAAACCCCCTCCCGCCCCCCACTGATCGTGCAGTGGAATCAGTCTGCAGGGCCGACGCGACATTCATTCCGAATTCATTCGGCGACCTAGAGGGGGGGGGGGGTGAAACCTGTGTCGCCATAACGGCTCAGCAAGCCGAATGCATCGAAAGCGCCCAAAGCTGGCGGGGCGGCCGATCCGAGCACAGAGCGACGACAGCGACGACAGCGCGGCGCGCGTGGCGAGTGTACACACAAAAGGAGTGCGGCGGAGCGTGGCGAGGTTATCCGGGATTGGCTGTAGACAATGTCGGCGATGGCGATTTTCGCTTCTCTCGCCCCGCGCGCGGATCGAGGTCGTCCTCGTGCCGCCCTCGGCGTGGCGGCGTGCTCGGCCTCGCTGCGAGGCACCGAGCGATGCGTCGGGCGGGGCGCGGAGTGCGGCCACTCCACTCCTAGGACCTGGGACTCCGCGCCGCGCCGCGCCAGCCACTTCCCCGCTCTCCTTGGCCTGCCTTGGCTGAGCGCCGGAAAAACGCTGAGGTCGCGCAAGTGGATTCTCATTCACCGGGTGCTTGAGAAACAAAGGAGGGCAACTTGTCGGGGCGGGGCGGGGCGGGGCGGGGTGGGGTGGCGCCACTTACTTCCCCGCCCCGCCCCGCCTCCCCCACACAAAGCGACCCTAGTTGCCGCTCCGCACATTCAAATAGCGGTGCGCAAAATGGCAATATTCCATCCATAATGCGCCGCGCAAATAAGAGAATACAGATGCGGCTGCATTGTGTCCAAATAGCCCTGGCGTGTGTGTTGCGTTTTGTTGCTGCTGTTGTTGTCGTCGCTGTTTTTGCTGCCCTGCCGCCGCCGCCGCTTTCCCTCTCCGATGCGCTGCTCTAATAAAATTCCCCGTGACTCCAACAACACCGACAACAACATCAACATCAGAAACGATGCATGCGAGAAAATTAATTCCCGCTGACGCAACCGATCCGACAACAAGTCGGCAAAAAGAAGGAGGAGGAGGAGGAGCCGACGACGGAGAAGGAGAAAAAAAACCGGTGTGCGAGCAATATCCAGGCTGCAATGGCCATGGCGCGATGAGGGAATTGAGTATAAATAATAGACGAGTTATCCATTGTGCCCAACCCCCACGTGGAAAGCTGGCCCTGGCTGCCCTGGCTCCCGGGGGCCGCCGCTTGGAGGACCAGGACCGCGTCGTTTAGTTTAGTTTCGTTCGGTTTCGTTCTGTGGCGCCGCGCCGTCCCGCCGACGTCCTCGACGTCCTCGCGGCCAGTGGCTGCCAGTGGCCACCAAGGTGAAGACGGCAATCGAGGGCAGAGGGAGGGGAGGGGAGGGGAAGGGCTACAAGCCAACCGGCGCGACGCCCCCCTCCCCCTCCCCCGCGCGACGGCCCGCCGGCGGCGTGCCTCGTGGTCGTAGTCGTGTCCCCCGGGCTAATATAGTTCGACGGCCGTCATCCCCGCGCCATTTGTATCAATGAGCAGCCTTCCGGGGGGAGTCGGCTAGCCGGGCCGGGGCGGGGCGGGGCGGGGCGGGGCGGGGCGGGGCGGGGCGGGGCGGGGGGGGGGGGAAGCGGGTCGCCTTGAAAATACAGGCCGGGGTCAGGGGCATGCTGGGGCAGGCACGGCGGCGCCACGCCGCGCGGAATGCCGCCGCGAGCCACGAGTAGTTTTGCTGGGCCAGTGTCGCGTCCGGACCGGGGCCGTGGAGGGGGGGGGGGCCTTCCACTGCTACCCCGTGCGGGCCGGTCGGGCCAGTGCGGGACGGGCACCCCGCGCCGCCACCACTTTATGACCCCTTGCTGCAGTGTATGTGAGTGTATAGTGAGGCTGGTACACGAGGGGATTCAGCCCGCGCGCGCTCGTGTGTGTGTGCGTGTGTATCTCTGTTGGCGTTTGTGTGTGCGAGGGGACTGCGGCACGCTGAGTGGCGCACCCCGGCTAACCTTGTGAGGTCCACGCAGCGGACTTGGATACCCCAAGCCTCAAGTTTTTAATCCTTTTGTCGTCGTCCTGAAAGAGCGGTCGTCCGGGCTCCTGCGTCGAGCAGGGCGAGCAGGGCCAGCGGGGCCACCCTCCCCCGCACCGCAGGGCCGAGGGATTGGAGGAAAGGGGGCGGGAAGGGCCGGGGAAGCGTGTGAAACAAAAAGAACGCCGCCTGGCCTGCAGACTCCGCCCTGGGGGATTTGTCGCACGAATCCGAACCTTTGCCACCCTTGGAGAAAATAAAATGATGGAAAAATTATACCAGTGCAGAGATATTATAACCCACTCGAAATTTCTCGTACATCTAAATTTGATGTACCTAAGTTTCAACCCACTCACAGAAAAAGAAATTCAACTCTGACACATTTTATGCCCGAGTTTCAGTGCGGTATGCTTGCCTGGGGCAAAAATAATTTGAATCAGTAATCAGTATAGGTTCGCGTATTGACTTCTTCGGTGGTGATAAGTGTTCAAATCCCCCCCAGCAATCCGTTTCCGCTCCTGGTGTAGGCCTGGGCAGGCCGAGCGGCCTCGCTGCTGCGACATTTAAAGGCCACTGCGCGCGCATTGATTTCCTCCAGGACCTCTAGGACCTCCAGGACCTCCAGGACTTCGAGGGCCTCCAGGACCTCCTGGACCTCCTGGACCTCCAAGACCTCCAGGACCTCCAGGACCTGCAGGACTCCGAGGAACTTCAGGACCAAGATGGAAATAAGTCCCGCGCTGCCGGACTGCGATGACTGCGAGGCGAGGACTCCCGCATCTAAACCCTTTGAAACGGCCGCGGAAAGGGGACGGGGGAGGGGGAAGGAACCTCGTGGCTTTCATGGAGCTGGTCTATTCAGCAGGCCGACTCTACGACGGGCAGGGTTGGCTCGGCGGCCTCCTAGTCTACTGCCTGGCCCGCTGGCCTAGACCCGGCCTACCCGGCCTACCCCGGACCGGGCGCAACGCAACGGGACGCCATTTGGAAAGCCCCCCCCCCCCCCCCCCGCATACGGCATGCCTGCCTGCCTGCATCGCATCCCCTCCGAGCTCCCCGTGTTCCACGTACTACGTCACCGACCCTGTTGCTCCTCCTCTTCACCAATCCCGACCAATCCGGGTCCATTCCCAGCGTCCAATTTTTAGACCGCCAGGTCCCGAAGGGACACGTTGTTTTTTGCTGTTGACGATGTTTTCGTTTTTGCGATGAATTGGCGGTGGTAGAGCCTGCTACGCATGGTAGGGGCTAGCCCAACGCCCTCCCCCTCCTCGCGGGGTTTGACCTGCCGAAGCAGGTGGCGTTTCCGGGCCCACCACTTACGGGTCCTCCCCCAAAATTACTGTCTCAATAGGCCCCGTGTGCCGCGCGGTGCCGCGCGGTGCCGCGTGCCCGAGTAATCCCCCGGCATTAATTACACAATTAAGGGGCCGTCCGTGACAGGGGCAGCGGCCGGCCGTTTCAATGTGCCGATGCCTGGAGGCACCTGGAAGCGCCTGCAGACTCATTCCGAGAGTCGCTTTCGTCGTTCTGACTCCCCCGCGTCCGTGGGGCGTCCCCTAGGTGCGCGAGAGACAGAGCGACGAAAACGACTCTCGGAATCATTCTGATGTGGTCCTGAGGGAGGGAACGCCAAAGCAACGAAGCTGGGCGGCTGCCGTGTTTCTCCGGGCCCGGGGACGCGGGCCGACGGGGACGTCAAGGGCTGCCGTCAAACGTCGCTGGCAAACAAAGCTCATCACGGGGTCCTCTCCCGTCAACGAGGGACGCCGACGGCACGCCGCCGACTGCCCCAGCAGCCCGACGAGACTGTTGTCACAAGCGGCGTGCGCGTCGAGTTGGTCCCTGGTGGGTCCCCCGGGTCGGGCCGCGCGCACGGCCCGCATTTTAAACAGTGGCGGCGAGGCCGTGTACTTCCGTCCGGACTTACGCGACACGGCGGACGGCGGCGACCTCGTGGCGGCCAGGCCCCCGGGACTACAGAGGCCTAGAGGCCCAGGCTGGCGGCGGCTGGAGGCTGGACCGGGAGGGCGCGCTGACGGGGCTGACTGGACCGCGCCGCGCCACGCCGCGCCACCGGGGCGCGCGCCGCGAGATCGGCTCGGCTCGGCTCCGGCGCGTCTCGGCGGGGCGCTCGCTCCTCGCTCGGCTCGCAGGCCTGGGGGCTTGCAGGGGGCGGAGGCGGAGTGACCCGACCCGCGCGACTCACGGCTGGCGTGAGACTGGCAGAGCGCTGCGGCGTGGCGTAGCGGCGTAGCGCCCCCGCAGTCCTGGTGGTCCCGCGCCGGTGCCCTCCCACCCCGCCACCCCCCGGGCCCGGCCAGCCCTTGGGCCAGCCCTTGGGCCAGCCCTTGGGCCAGCCCTTGGGCCAGCCCTTGGGCCAGCCCTTGGGCCAGCCCTTGGGCCAGCCCTTGGGCCAGCCCTTGGGCCAGCCCTTGGGCCAGCCCTTGGGCCAGCCCTTGCGCCAGCCTGCAGCCTGCTTATGGTGACCGCCTGGGCGCCTGGCAGTCGACCCCGGCCCGGAGCCGAGCCGCGAGCCGCCCCTGCCCTCCAGGGCACCGAGAGGGGACCGGCCGAGCCCAGGACTACCGCACTTACTCGGTGGTTGTGGTCTTCCCTCTACCGGGGAATGGGGTGCAAAATCCATGTTTGGTCAGTTTTTAGTGGAGTTCAGACCGGTGTTGCCTGAGCCAGTAGGCAAGGACTAGTGTCGGCAGGGTTGCCGGTCGCAGGTGAAGAGGGCAGAGGGTTAGAAGCCATTTCGACGATGGTCCAGTAAGAGAATTTTTGCCTATCATGGGGCAATTCCTGTCCAGCAATTCAAATTAACGGAGGCTGTACATTTTCGTGAATGTTTATTTCAAAATTGATGAACATGATTGTGATAAGGTACATCTCCTACGGCTGCGGTTCCTTGATTTGGTGGCTGAGCGCTGAGTCCCCGGTGACGTACACCCGTAAGGCGCCAGGGTTTCCCTTGGGCTCCGCAAACCTGCGCAAGCAAAAGGAAACCCCATTTTAAAACAACATGCAGAGCGTGCGGCACCCCTCTCTTTTCCTCTCACGCCGCCGCTTCCCTACCGTAGCTTCCGCTGCTTCACTCTCTTCAGCACGGCGGGCTTGAGCACGGGCTTGTTGTTGAGGCTGTGCACGCCCCGCCCCGTCACGATGGTCAGCCACACTCCCTCGCCCTCCTCGTCGGCCTCGTCCAGGGTCCGGATGTGGTGGTCCAGGAACAGGTCCAAGGCCGTCACCGCCTCGCCCACCTGAGTTCCCGAGGAGAAGGATTATCCGGCTCGAGCGCCACGCAGGGGGCCGCGCATTAATTCTCGATGCGCGGAGCAAAGCGACTCGAGCTCACCCGGAAGAAGTGCAGGTCCAGGGTGTCGGTGTTGGACATGGTGGCGAGCAGCGCCGCCGAGGCCAGGGCGTTGTTCTTCTGGAAGTCCCGGTTGCACTCGCAGGACTGGAGGGTGGATGTCAAATTAGCGTGGAATAAGTGTGATATAAGCGAAAATGAAGAATTAAATAAGTTCAAAATAAAGAAGTAGAAATGAAATAAGTTAAATAAATAGTTAAAAAGTTAAATAAATAAGCTTAGTTTTAACTTAAAACAACGGTGAACAAAATCTGCCAAGAATATTTACCATTTGGCATGTACTGTTCAAAATATTATTTTGTTTCCCTCCATGAGCCTACGCTTTAGCGTGGTGCGCTAGTCGGTGCGTGTTGCTTACCTTGGAGGTGTAGTAGCCCGCCACGTCGCGGCGGCCTTGCTGGAACATTTCTTGCGCAGTCTGGCGGAACTGGTCGCGCCGCACCCGGAACATGGTGGCCTTCTCCCTGTACCTCTGGTAGGCGGCCATCGGGTCGGCGGCGTCCCATGGATTTTCGTCGTCCTCCTCGTCCTCGTCCAGCGACTTGCGGCGGTTGATGCCGAGCTCGCCCAAGAACGCGTTCTCTCTCTGTGTCGGCGACACGGAGCGCGAGCGCGAGCGCGACCGCGACCGCGATCTACTCGTGCCCGCTGTGAGCCAGCTTGAACCACTGGCCCCAGCACCAGAACTGCTAGAGCCACTGGGCCCAGCTGCAGACTCGCTTGAACCACTGGCTCCAGCTGCAGGCCCCCTTGAACCACTGGCCCCGGCTTCAGGCTGACTTGAACCACTGGCCTCGGATCCGGGCCGACTTGAACCACTGGCCCCGGCACCAGACCCGCTTGAACCACTGGCCCCGGCACCAGACCCGCTTAAACCACTAGCCCCAGCTCCAGACCCGCTTGAACCACTGGCCCCGGCGCCAGGCCCGCTTGATTCACTGCCTCCTTGACCGCTCGCCTTCAAGCGGCTGGCCTCCAGGACGAGGGCCACGATGTCATAGTCGCGTTCGGCCGCCTCGCTAGCGTTGAAGAACTTGTCGTGCTCCGCGAAGAGGGAGTCCAGCCTCTTGGAGATGTCCTTCTCATTCGACATCCGCTTCGACGAGAAGATGAGGTCGAGCAGTTCGGGGTCCACGTCCGTCGAGTCAACGTCATCCACGGAGTCCTCGACCGGGAGGCTCGGAGCAGTGGGGACGGGCTGAGGCTGCTGAGGCCGAGGCGGGGTCTGCGTGGGGCGGCAGAGTGTGAGTTGCTGTGGGGCGAGGCCTGCACTCGGTCGGCGTGCTTCGTGAGCACTTCTTACCACCAACGTACAGGGTCGCGTAGCTCTCCGCGCTGCTCTTCCAGGTCCGCGAGCGCCCGCTCGTACACCTCCAGAGCCAGCTGCTCATCTGGAGAGAGAGGAACAGGACGTCGCGTTCAAAAGGACTGCGTGAAGGTTCGTTTCGAGCCTTGTTAAGAGACTCTGGAGCTCAAAATGCGTCTAGAATATTGGCCGCCTCCACCGGTCTTCTGTCCCACTGTGCGCTCGCGCCGCTTCGCCTCACCTTGCTCGCACAGCCTCCTGGTGTGCTCGACGCGCTCCCGTTCCTCGCGCTCCTCCCGCTCCTGCTCCTCCGCCGCCAGCACGACGTAGTAGTGCATCTGGCGCGCGAACGCGGTCGGCACGCGGACCACCGCCGATGCACCTGCGCACACACGAGCGTCGCGTCATCATTCCTCCTTTTATTTTCCCTGCCGCCGTGAAACAACGCGCCACACATTTCGACACACACCCGCGTTGTTCGGGAAAGCCCCCACGCTGCCGAACGTGGTCCTGAGCTGCGCCATCAGGTCGGCGTCCAGGACCAGGGCCACGGAGTCGTCGTCCTCGTCCTCGTCGTCCTGGTCCGAGCGGGACGACAGCGGCATGGCTGCGGGGCGCCGGTGGCGTCTCATGACTGCGTGAACGACGTTGAGGACGTTGGCGGTGTTGGAGGCGTTGGCGGAGTGGACGACGTTGGCGGTGTTGTTGGCGAGAACGACGTCGGCGGCGTAGGCGACGTGCTGCACCTCGCGGCGCAGGACACACTGCCGGCCCGACTGCGGCGCAGTCCACTTGAGCCAGGCCGCAGATAAGCAGCGCGCGATGACGGCGGTACCGACCGGCAATACATTTTGCCGCCAACGCGCAGCACCGCGTCTCAGTCAGTCATTCCCGTCCCGAGCGGTCTGTCCGGCCGCGGCCGCCATTGGCCAGCTTTCCCCGTATTCCCCGCACGCCGCGCTCGCCATGGCCACGCCATGCGCCGTCTCTGTCCGGCCCGTCTGGCCGCCCCGCCCCTCCTTCCGACGCCTTGACAGATAACGCAAGCGCCGCACGCGGTCATCGGTTGCGGCGGTCGGTTCCGCGCGAGCAAATCGGTTTCCGCACTAAATTAAGACTTGGGTGTAAACTGATTGAAGGAGCGGCCAAAGTTTTCTTTGGGTAGCAGAAAATTGTTCCCGCTTGTGTCCTTTGAGGTTCTTCGACGTCCTTTGACCCTCTGTAGGTAGAGGCTGCAGAGTGCGTCGTATAGTCATTGTTGCGGCTTCACGCCAGTGGCCGATGCCGTTGCCGTGGCAACACACTCCCGGCACGCCAGCCTCGCGATGCTCGCGATTGCGAGTCGGCCGATGAGACAAGATTGAGACTGCGTGTGTTTGTCGGCTTGTTGCAGGCGCCGCCCGACCTGCCCGCGGGGAAGTCCGTCCGGGGAGTCCTCCCGAGGCTCGCCGTCGACCTGCGCTCCGCGATAAGCCCTTCACAATGCCGGCGCTTCTGCTGAGCGATTCTCACGAATCGTCGCTCTGTCTCTCTCGCACCTCTGCGCGACGCCCCACAGGTGCGACAGAGACAGAGCGGCGAAACGACTCTTGGGAATCAGTCCGCTGCGTGCGGCCGTGGCACTTAGAATGACGAATCAGTCGCGGGGAACAACCGCGGCGTTCGAGGTTTGCAGTGAGTCATTGCTCGTTGTGGGCGCTCGCTCGAACGCCACGGTTCTGCAGAGTCCAAAGGTGATGGCCGTTGGACCGGGCGGCACGGCACGCCCCGCCTAGCCCGCAATGGTAATGGTAGGGCACCCCAAGCGCCTGGCGGGTAGGCAGCCGGCCTGCAGCGCGCCACGGCGGCACTGCCTACCCCGCGCACTGCAGGCGCTTGGCCGCGCTTGCGCTTCACCTCGGCCGTCTGTAGGTATACTCTGACGCTTTTCGCTGTCCCCTGCACTGTCAAGTAGTTTGTCCCCTCGTTTCGGGCGCGCCTCTGTCGCCCCTCAAACTATCCCCCAGAACGTTCCCAGTGGACCAGAGGCGTGCCGGAGGCGAGTGCACTCGAGTGCGAGTCGCTGCAGCATGCTTCTGACGAGTCGCATTGTCATCGTCGCTCTGTCTCTGTCGCACCCATGGGTCCGCAAAAGAGCGCGCCGTGAACCCCTCTTCTGAAGTGCATGGCCGCCCGTCTGTCTGCAGGTGGGCCGCGGCGTGGACGAGCCGCCCCGCGCCCAGAAGAAGCTGGGCAGGGGCGAGTACAGGGTGCCGGCCGAGCCGTGGCCCGACCGCGACGTGCTGCGCCTGGCCGCAGTGGGGCCGGAGCACGCCGGCGAGTGGGAGTGTACAGTCACGCAGCGCGCCCTCAACCTGACTTGGACCACCGCCTGGGTCGACCTGCAGGTGAGCCCTGCCCCGCGAACCGACGTGATGACGAGGGTCGCACAGCAGGCGGCCAAAACTCTCGACGCGTTTTGAGCTCCAGAGTCACCAAATGGGACTCGAACCGAACGTGTGACCCCGCTCTCAGAACGCTCTCAGAACGAAGAATCTATTGGTGGTGTCACACGTTCGGTTCGAGTCCTGTTCATCGACCTGAGAGCTCAAAACGCGTGTAGAGTTTTGGCCTCCTCGACCGGCTGCTGGCCCTCTGTGGGCAACCCCAAGCACCAGGCAGCATCGTGACACCCGCGCGTGGGATATTGACGGGCCCATTCTCTTGTGACCGATTGTACCCCACAGGTGTCTTTGTTTTGAGAGTGACTGTGCCCGACGGGCCCTTTCTTCCCCAAGTACTCCCCGTCCCCTACACTGCGTTCAAAGCGCTCACTGCTTTGACGTTGCAGGTGCTCCCCGCCCCGAGCTTCGTCAGCCACCTGCTGGAGGACGACGCCACGCGGTGGCTGTTCGGCTGGACGGGCTCGGAGTTGGGAGTGCAAGTGCTTCTCGGTGCTCTGGGCTTCACGTGCCTCGCAGCGTGCTGTCTGGCATATTTTCTAGTGACGCGCGTGTATAGTGTTCGATTTGTAGGGAAAGTAATGAGATAAGGTGTTTGCTTGGAATGAAATATGTCTCTTTCATGAGCTGTGTATGAATAAATCACTACAATTTGACAAAAACCTCATAAATTTATTAAGTTGTCACATAAAAAAAAGAATGCAATGGAATACAGGCATTGATGACCACCTTCATGCTTAACTTAATTATGGCACTAAGAAAAATACCCTGTTGCATCCTCACCTTTAAGTACAAGAACATGTTTTCTCGAACCCGAGAATCAGAAAACACTGAGTTTGTCATTGTATAAGAGTGGGGAAATGTGGTTAAGGCTAAATTTCCTTGGAAGTCGCCAATTACTTGTTATTAAAAAGGAAAAATAGCATCTAACTAAATTAAAAATATAATACTTCAAATTTAACTGGCTATTTTCAAATATGGAGGATATGCAGGCAACCAATCAATTTCGTAAAATGGATACGTAACTAACACAGAAAGTGTCTCGCCTCAATTGAAAGAGAGTTAACATTGAACAAACAATAAGAATATTCCCATGAGGTACGATTTCACCTGAACAACCCTAGTTGTAATTACTTAATTGAATTAATTTGCTACTTTTAACTTTTAAAAGGGATGAACTGAAGCAGTTGCGTGCTCGGGGGCTTGCACGCAAAACGCGCTGGACTCGCTAGGGATGAAGCGCGATGAAGCGTTGGGAAAGGGTGTTGAGGGTAGGGCGCTGGCGGAAGCACGCTGGGGGAAGCACGCTGGGGTCATGATGAAAGTGCGTCAACAGATTGTCAATTCAATGAAAAACACTGATTAAAATACAGTAAATCTTACCTACAGCTACCTCACTCTAGCATGGCATTCCTCCCACAAAGAAGCAACTATATAAAAAAAAGTATGAAGTATAAGAAATTGAGCAAAATCTTGCTTATAGTAATATATGGTAACATAACCCACAGAGAAGACAAACTTGAGCATAAAATCAGTTCATACAACAATATATAAAAAATTAAAAAAATAATATTTTATACTATGATTTGATTTTGCAAGATAAAACTTCACTATGACTTAAAAACATTGAGTAGCTACATTTACAAGTCTTAAGTTGATAGTCCACTCCTAAACGTTACTGCAGTCCCAACAATCGCACAGAATTTAGCTACAGTTGCGCAAAGGTACTGCACAATATTTTTTCAAATCTCATCATAGAGAAGATACACATAAACTATACTAGCAGTAGTCACAGCCTAATTTTGCAGTTCAGCACAGCAGAATGAGGCATAACATGATTGAGATTTTATTAGAAAGAAATAGGGCAAAAATGAAGAATTTAAACAACAATTTTTAAGCTATACATTTAGAAATTAACAGTGACACACTGAAATATGAATGCAACCACAATTGACAACCACAATTAACCTTTATACAAGGTAATGCTTTGAAGATTATGTTAAGATGGAGGTGCATTTAATAAACGTCTATTTAGTCTATTTCGTGGGAAGGCTTGGAATCAGATGAAGCCCAGACTCTGACGACACCTGGATTCTGCAATGTTTGACATCTATAAAAACAAGAAAGAGGGCAATAAGAGACTGAAAAAGAATTTATTAATTTAATTACTTTGATTAGATGTAGAAATGCCTGAAGAACAGAATTTACCTCAGGTTACGTTTCTTAGCACGATTGATAATAGCTGGCTTTATGCGAGGTTTCCCATTGACGCTGTGGGAACCTCTTCCTGTAATGATACTGAGACACTCTTGTGAAGCGCCACGTTCAGATAATAATCTAATCCGAAAATCTATGAACAAGTCAAAGACTATAACGGCCTCAGCAACTTTGAAGTTGTGCAAATCAAGGGTGTCGCTTTGGGAATCAGCTTGGGCAGCAGCTAGGGATGCAGCAGCCATCGCACTTGCATTCTGGTATTTCTTCCCATTTAACTCACCCTAAAACCAAAGAGAAGAAAAGATTTGAAAAGATCAAGTTGTTTAAGCACAACACACATTAAACCATAAGTTACAAAACCAACCAGTTTTGCATAATAAGCTGCAACAGATCTCTGTTGTCGTTTGAAGGCTTCACTAGCCTTTCGGTACATTTCATCACGTTCCTTTAAATATTCATCCGCCTTAGCCCTATATTTATTGTAATATGCTTTCGGATCAGAAAGATCCCATGGATTATCATTTTCAATGGAGTCTTCAATCCTTTGGCATCCTCTCTGTAAAATCAAAATGAATGTGAATGAAAATGAATGAACAAGTACAGTAAGAACTTTAAACTACATAGTTTGTGACAATGCTAATGTAAGCCTCTCCAGAAAAGAATGTGGTGAAAAATATACACTAATCAAGTTTATTATTTCTATAATCATACCTCTTTTCGTGACAGACTGCCGTCACTAAACACATCGACAGAAGCAGCTCCTTGGACTGTTCCCTTTAAGATAAGATATCTTTAGTTCACTTTTAATATGTCAACAGCAAACACATTCATAACAAAAAAAAAAGAGGAATCTTATTAACACTAACAAGTAACATATTTAAAGAACTCACTTGCATACTTGCTTGTTGAGCTCTTCTTATAAGTTCTTGCTCTCTTTCAGCTGTTCCTTTTACACCAAATACTTGGCCATCAGATGAAAGAGCTTCTTGAAGAGTTTTAACGGTGTCTTCAAAAGAGTAATTACATGACACATAAATATCATGAAGTGTTCTTTTGTCAATATTGCTATAGTTCTCCTCAAGAAGGCGTTTAGCAAGAATATTTGCTGCTGTTTCTGGAGTGTTTCTTGATAATGAATCCTGTCCGAAAAAAAAAACAAAATTCTAAGAATACTTTCCAGACAGAATACTAAAGGTTCTTGAGAGTATAAGATTTTCCAGGGATGTAAATGGTTTATTGAGCTAGTTCAAATGATGAGGGAGAGAAAGGCCTTTTGGAGACAAATCATGAAAATGAGAGAATAAACCAGAACTTACGACGTCTGCTTTGTAAATGGCTTGTGCTAGCTCCATGTCCATGATTTCTCTCAGTTGAGGAGGTGACGTGTCAGCCCGTTGTTTAGCATGAGAGCTCATCATTTCGTCATACAGTTGTCGTGCTAATCTTTCATCTAATATAAGTGTAAGAAAAGACATTCAATAGAATCTTTGAAAAAAAAAAAAAAAACCACATGGTCCCTCATAAACTATAAATAATTACTGTAGTAACCGTCACGTGAATTAAGAAAACAATTAAAAGAAATGCTAAACCTTACCTTCCTCACATTGCAGCTTCATTGCAAAATCACCATCCTCTTCTTCATTTGAAGCAAATATAATATCATGAATTTGACGAGCAAGACTGATAGGAAATTTGACAAGCGGTGAAACATCTACAACAACAAATTTGAAATAAGTCAATCAATTTTGAACTTGTTGAAACGAACTATCTCCCTTGATTGAGGTACTTACTTCCAACATTACAAGACCCTCCAAATTTATCTGCCAATTGCTGAACAAAGTCCTGACCTACAATAAACTCTAATGTCTCATTTGATTCATCTCCATCACTACTTTCAGAAGGAGATTGAGATGGTTCTGGAGTTGGCTCGTTACATTCATCTGAAAGACCTTGGGGTATGACAAAAGGATCTTCAGAGACAGGTGAAGTGGACTTCGGAATTGCACCTTCCCTTAGGCCTCTTCGGAAATTTTTAATTGCCAGAAGATGAGGGGAATAGCTCCTTTCACTAAAGTCAATACTTGACTCTATATGCCTTTTCACTTCCTCAGCTTCTTCTATGGCATTTGATGTATTTTGATCATCATTGGGTTCATTACAAATAATAGTTTCAGTTACCGCAAGGTTTTCCTCAGGAGGTTCCTGTGTTGAGGGTTCTACATCGGAATCTGAATCAATACTATCATCACCTACAAATGAGGTACAGAGAGCATCATTGTCAGTCTCATCAAGGAGAAGATTAGACACATAGTTAACGTCCCAATTACATTGTTTTAAAAATTCTTTGAGGCTGGCGGTTGATTTATTTGGGAACAGACGTGACAGCTCCTTTATCTTCTCCTGCTTACTCTCTGTTTTTAGTTCCATTTCAAAATCATTTTCAGTTACAGTTCCTTTATCGAGTTTTAATTTAAGAGGAATTTTAAAATCATGGACTGTTCTTCCTTTGTTGATGTCTCTATCATAGGTATTTAAAACAACAACACCATCTACTGCACCATTAGAAGAAACTTGACTTAGGGTACAAAAGTCAGCATGATGGGTGTTTGTTTCCTTGTCTTGAACATCAACTTTAACAAATCTAGAACGTTGAGAGTTGTCTAATAGACTCTGTGGGCCTGCTGATTCTTCTTTATAAATTAACCCTTGTTGGATTTTGTCAATGGGCTGCCAGGATATTAAATTATCGTCACAATGTGCCCAGCCAGTTGATTCAATTGGAGATGCAGCATTCAAATCCTTGACAGACTGGCAATAATCCTGAATATTTTTCATATTAAATGAACGAGGTGGCTTTGGTAAAGGATTTTGCTGAATGACATCATTACTTTCATTCTTGTCAACACCAACATTCCAATCAGCCATTCCAATCCAGCTTGCTGTAGAAATAAGAGGTTGAGTTTTCATTGAACTCTTTGTTTCTTGAGCATCAGCAGATCCCATCAAATCAACAGGGCAACTGACTGGAGTTTCTTTCAATAAAACATCCAGTGGTGCTAAAGAAGAAATGCTGGAAGAATTATCACTGCTGGCATTAGCATTAGATTGCACAACCGAATTTAACAGAATTTTATCTTCTTTATCTTCACCATCTTGAACAAAAGCAACACTGGTTGTTGTATCTTTGGAGTACAGAGAGTCTTGCAAGGACGGATTTTTTCTATCACTTTGTTCACTAGTAACTGCTGCAATATTATTCTTTTCTACTGACACTGAAAAACCACTACTGGACTCCTCATTTCGTTTTGGAATTTGCGAAAACGGCAGTAAAAAATCTGATGTATCATTCATAGGAAACATTTTACTGGAGCTAACTGCTAGTTTTTCATTAATACCCAATTCTTTGCCTCCAGTAATAGATTCTAATCCTGGTTTAAAATCTCTACTAAATATATCTGAGCCTCTTGAATTAGAATTGAGTAACAGGTTAAAAGCATCTGGAGGTGAAGAATTGTTTCCTTGTTTACTTCCCAAGGTATAAAAATTTAAACTGCTGTTAGCATTTTGTCCAAAATAAAACCCTTCACCACCAGTCAATGATTTGGAATTGACTTGTGATGTCAGGTTTGTATCTTTTAATTCTGCAAGTAAAGTTGTCTCCTTTTTATTAATCCTCTGTTCAGGATTGGCATTCTTCAAGGGGACTAGACTAGGAGCTCCCACTGCCATGGGCGAAACCAGACAATGTTCAGCTGGTTGAGGTGGAGGTCTAGAATAATTTGCTCCAGTAGATTTTATGAGGTCATCAACAGATATGCCAGATTCATAGCGATCTAACATGTTTCTTAAGTTTTCTCTTGGAACTCCATGTTTATTGCGCTTAAAAAGCTCATTTAATTTGGAGAACCAAGGTGTGTCTGGCTCAAGTATTTCAATCAGATATCCATAGTTGACTGCCATACTGGCATATAATGTCATCTCCCATAACTGAGTATTTGTATTGTCAACAATAACAGGACTTAAACCTTCTCGTACTTTCTTCAGAACTCTTGTCTGGTTCCACTGATGAGCTTCAGATAATTGCGCAGGATGAAAATCATAACCATTCCTCTTCATAAAATAGTCATCTGTTGAGAAGACATAATCCTTTGGTTTTCCCCCGTAAGAAAGAACAAGACCTTGAGCCAGATATGACTTCCCAGAACCTGGGCAGCCACGCATTAAAATCATGATGCGTTTTCCGTTCTCAATATACCACCTCACTTTTCTCATCTTGTCTGTGGCAACAGGCTGCACATTTTTCACAGGCCTTTCCATAGGTAAACTATTTGTCAAAGGTTTTCGTGGTATTGCACCTGAACTTGAGTTACTTCTTGGTGTTTCCGGGACTGGACTTCTGTTGTTTCCTGAGAATGCAGCATGTGACCGAATTGCAGAAGCTGGTGAAGTCCCATTTAGGGCAGGTTTACTTGGTTTCTGAGCAGACTGCACACCTGTGGGAGCATTCTTTGTCCCACAAATATCTAAAAGTGCATCCATGGATTTCTTGTCTGGAATGGGAAATACAAAAGGCAAATTCAACAAAATTATCTATACAGGCCTCTTAAATTCTGAGACACGGACAACTTTCTAAACTACACCAAATGGGGTCTAACAACAATTCTCTAAACATTTTATTCTATTCAATTCAAAAGGTCAAAAATTGGTTCATAAAAAGTTACTAGATGATAGTGCAAATACTCACGATTAAATCCACAAGAATGAACAACAGATTGAATAACTTCAGGCTCAACTGAATCCAGGAACATTTCATACATGTCTGCTAGAACTTTGTCCCTTCTCTTGCTTTCTTTGGAATTGTCCATAAAGGAGCCGTCTGGGTTCGGTACAGTTGGAGAGGCTCCTGCCCAACCACCACCGCCCAAGGATCCAACGGGGCCACTTCGACTCATGATTGCTTCTAATGGAACCACTTTGGAAGTACAAAAACTCTCGTATCTGAAAAGAATGAGGTTTGAAGTTTGAAAGTCTGTACCCAAAATATCTCTCTCCTAGACACCATAAGGAAGGGTGACAAGTGTCAGACCAAAGGCATGCAAGCCCTGGAAAGTCAAAGTTTTGTGCTTTGTACCATAAAGACACAACTCTCCCCAGCCAATGAGAAGGTTCAAAACATGAATATAACACAAACACAACAAGATGGCAAAAAATTCTTGACAAAACGAATGTTTAAGCCCAGGAAGGAACACAACACGACCGTACATAACACAGAAAAATTTGTAACGAGCGAGTCAAGATAACCAAGATTGTGACTTTTCCAGGCTGCACACACATTCGGACTCACCCGAGTTTACTACCGTCTGGCTGCACGACCTCGGGGCCATAGCCATACGGAAAGTACGGGACGTGACGGCGATGATAACAAAACAGAAAGGATTGGATTTGGCAAAAGACAGATTCACCTCATGAGAGCAGAACACGGGCAAAGGTGTGACGAAGAAACGATGTCGGAGAACAACGGGACGGACAGGCACGACGGTCAAAGGTAAGAGAAAGGGAGCGAAATGCGTGCTGCGTCGCGACTAGACACAATAACACACAAAAACAGCAGAGGTAGACAAGCAGAAGCAGAAGCAACAGCGCGCGCGATGGGAGAGGGGGGCAGGGCTGGGGTGGGGTGGGGTGGGGTGGTTGCTATGTTTTCCTGCGCCCTCTTGTAGCCTTCACCTATTTCAGCTTCAGCCGCGGATGGCGATGCCCCCAGGGCTCCGCAAACCCTGCCATTTGCGGCGCTGGTGTTGTTTCATTATTCACAGGGTGAGGGTGCGGAGCAGAGCAGACGACAGACAACAGGAGAAAAGCCGGGGAAACAAATTAAATTTTGAAAATTAGTTGAGTGCTATCTCCTCTACAGAAGGTAAACCAGTTAACTGTCATGCACATCTAGTTAATTTCGAAAATTCTAAAATATTCGTACATATTTTAGCTGCAAATTGTTTATCTTTGAAAATTGAAGATTCTTTGTTTGGGTTATGAGTTTCATGTTTCACCATACCCCTTTTATTATGCTTGTTACACTATGATTGAAATGTAGTTTCCATTTATCAACTTGTCCTTAAATTTCAGATCTCTAGCTGCAAGATGGCAGATGAAGAGGACGGGAACGAGTATCGTTGGGAGACGGGTTATGAGAAGACATGGTTTGTGTCGTGGTTTGGTACGTCATGTCTAAATACTCTGTGTCTATGGTTTTTGATTCCCCCTTTTTACTATTCTAGGGAGGCAATCAAGGAGGATGATGATGGTATGTTGGAGGCCTCTGTGGCAGAAATCATTCAAAGAGCTAAAAGAAAACGACAAGCGGAGCGCCGCCCCAATACACGTCTGGGTATGATGAGACACTTGTACATAATTTTGGATTCCTCAGAAGCAATGACAGATCAGGATTTAAAACCAACTCGCCAACTGTGCACAGCAAAGGTAAACCTCAAAGCTCATTTTTTCTTGTTTCCATTCAGACTTTTAAAGGTCAAGTTAATGAACCGTTTAATCCCTTTCTTGCAGCTTTTGGAAGGTTTTGTCGAGGAATACTTTGATCAAAATCCCATCAGTCAGATGGGCATCATAGTAACCCGTAATAAGCGAGCTGAACTTGTTTGTGAGTTAGCAGGAAATGGACGGAAACATGTTGATGTGAGTTGTTTTAATTTTGTTATCAACTATATTTTGAGGACAAATTTTTCATTGAACTAATTTTTTGTTGCAGATAATAAAGCAAATATCTCAAGGTCCATGTGCTGGGGAACCCTCCCTTCAGAATTCTCTAGAGTTAGCCTTGAGTTCCCTGCGTCTATTACCTGGGCATGCCAGCAGAGAAGTACTTGTTGTCATGGGATCACTCACCACTTGTGATCCACATGACATCAATGTAACCATTCAGGTGCAGCTACTAGTTTGCTTGCTTAAAATAATATACTTTTCTCCATTGGTTGTTGGTTTATGAAACATTATTCTTGTTCTGAATTAATCTCCTCTTTTAACCTGCTTGTTTAGAAGTTGAAAGCTGAGGGAGTCCGCTGCTCAGTCATTGGCTTGGCTGCTGAAGTGAAGGTGTGTCGTCAGCTCAGCAAGGAGACAGGAGGCCTGTATTCTGTCATTCTTGATGACTGTCATTTCCGCGACCTGTTACTCCAGCAAGTGGAGCCTCCTCCAGCCGCTCGTACTCAAGATTGTTCTCTAGTAAGGATGGGCTTCCCTCATCACAGCAACGGCACTGAATCCTCCGATGCCTCAAGTGCTTCCTCCAATAACCCAATGTCATTTTGCATGTGGTCTGTACGCATTATCACTGTCTCATGTGATGCTGATACCTTCAACCATTGTAATACTTTAAATTGCTGTTGCAGTCACTTGGATGTTGAAAGCAAAGTGGACTCTACTAAACTAGGAGCAGCGGGACATCTCTGTCCACAGTGTGGAAGCAAATATTGTGAGCTGCCTGTTGAATGTCGGGCATGTGGTCTCACACTGGTTTCCGCTCCACACTTGGCACGTTCGTACCACCATTTGTTCCCTGTGGACAACTTTTTGGAGATCGACGCAAAAGAAAATCAACAGCCCAGGTGCTTTGGATGTCGTCGAAAATTTGTGGAGCTAGATAAACATGTATGTGATTATTATCTAGTGGTTGTTGTAAATTTGATTCCTTAATCTATTTTAATGGCGCTATCTTTTTGTTTCAGGCTTATAAATGTGGTGCATGCTCCCAGATTTTCTGTTTAGACTGTGATATTTTCGTCCATGATACTTTACACAGCTGTCCAGGTTGTACCAGCAGTGCTAAAAATCATTGATTACAATTTTTTACATCAATCATTACTATTTTGGAAAAACAGGAAACACAATAAAACACCACTGTAAATAGTAAGCAAATTGATATTATTCATGATTAAAAATATAAAACAACACGATAATAAGCAGTACAAGAGAATTCTATTTTACTTGAAGTAACAACAACCACTAAGAGATAAATAATAATAATAAAATTTAGTTTACAGTTCATTGCAATTATTACATCTCTTAATTTTCTTGTTACTTCTTAGATAGTACAGCCAACCTTTGGTCAAGTCCACTCATATTCTTCTTGATAGTTTCAACATTTTCTGCAAAACCTTTCTCAACTGACTGTAGCAGCTTCTCATTGCCTTGCAAACTTGCAGCCAATTTCAACTGGAACGCTTCCAGTTTTGATAGAGATGATGAGAAGTTGCTTGCTGAAAAATAAAAACCAGAACAAAGTCCGACATCAGGACAAAAAATATTTTAAACATTGCAAGTGACTAGGCTTTTGCCATGATAACAAACCTTCACGATGGAGAGATTCCAAAGCAGTTAGTCTCTTGACAGTTTGAGGTAGCACACTTGAAACAGCTTCAGTCTTTTTGACCAGCTCATACAGCTCAGTAACCTACAAGAAACAAGTTTTATAGCTCTAACTACATTTAATGTAAGAATCTTGATGGAAACATTCAACACAATAATATACCTTGGCATCTTTCTCTGGGTCTGACTGGCCATTAACTTTTTCAGCAATGCTGTCCATTTTGGTTACCAACCCAGATAATCTAGCATCTACACTGTCAATTTGTGCTTGATCCAGAAGGGAAATTCGACTCTCTAAGTTTTGCACAAATGAGGAGATGCTTTGATTTTGCAAAGTAGATCCCAAACGAGCCTGCAAACGGAAAGATAATTATAGGGATGGCAGAAAGAGAAAGGAAAACAGCACACACATGCTTCAGCTGGTCAATACTCACCATGTTTTCATTTGAAGTGCCAAGAATACTCTCCAATTTGTTTAATCGTTGCTCCAGCTCAGCTACTCGGGATGCTTGCTGGAGTTGACTTTGTTCAGGGCGGTAGCGCAATTGATATAACAAGCCATCTTCGCCAGTGGATGGTTGAGCAGTGGCTTTCTGTTTCGTAGCTGTGTCTGAAGGTTTGACACTTTTCTGCTTGTATGTTTCAAAGTGAGCAAAAAGTTTTCTAAACAGAAAGAAAATGATGGTAGGAACACCAACAGAAAACTAAAAATTGATAGAAGATTTTTACCTACTTGATCTGAGCTGTTTCTGGATCTTTCAGAGAAGAAAGCAATTCTGGTCCCAGAGTTTCTTCCAATCGGAACTCAGACAGCTGTTTCTGAGCCCGCTCAATGTTTGAAGCCAATGCTTTGTAACCAGCAGCATCTCCTTTATCTTCTCCTTTGGCCACATCCTGCAAGCATAAGACCATTACAGTAGCAAATACTCAGCATAATATAGTAGTAAATTTGCAGAGCAATCTTTTATTAAGTCTACAGCGAACATACCTTCAATGCAGCTACTTCTTCCACAAATTCTTTCATTTCACATTGCAAGCGTTGGTATTTCTGCAATAATGTTTCTTTTTCTCCTTCAGCGACCAATTCCCATATGCCAGATCTGAAATAAAGTTGATCTAATAATGCACCAGGAAGTAAGGCAAGGCAGGCTAACCCAGAAAACTTGACTTGTCAAAACACACCTGGCATCATAGCCACGATTGGGAACTTTCTTCAGTCGATCAGAAAAGTCAACACCGCTCCCAGACAATTGCTTGTCCTTGAACTTGAGGAACGATTCAGATGCACTTAAGTGCAGCCTCTCAATACATTCGTTCTCCTCCTGAAAATGAGAAGTCATGGACTTCAAAGCAGATGCACCTAGTTCTATGTGACATTAATAGATGGGGGAAGAAAAGGAGACGTGAAATAACAGTTAGGAGATGAATTGGGACACAAACCTCAAAAGTATCCTCGTTCTGGTCAGCCTCAGGCAAATCGCCAGTCTCATAAACATCAGGTTGATCATAAGCCTGCAGAAAAAAAACGCAAGAAAGAAATGTGATTCATTAATAAAGGACAGGCTCATAGATCTAATGTGCGAATGTCATAAAAAGTGTTTAAGGTAGTTCTTAAGTTTTGCAGAATACATTCATATCAACAGGCAAGGTTAAGGGATGTCTGGCACCCATTACTTTTCAATACATTTCTCAGTTAAGCACACTTCCTTAAAAATACTTACAATGCCGGGCAAATTCGCGTACTTGGGGTCAGCCATCTGAAGCGAATTAAACGTAAACGTTTTCGAAAACGACAAATCAAGAGCAAAAGTGACACCTGTGAGGGTAAACACTGCCAATAAGCAAGCTGGTGGTACGCCTAGGAATTGTTTTTTATTTTCGTAATTAAGTTTTTTTGAGCAATTTGTTTGGTTTGTTAGATTTAGACGGACTAAGAGCTCCATAAGAAATACAGACTAGGCATTTTTGTCAAATTAAACAGCTTGCTAGGTAATTTATTTTTCTGCAAAAACATTATTTTTTGCGCACCGTAGGTTGGCTTACTGCCTGTCATGTGTCTCACTTTCTGCGAAAAATCCTAACCCCAAAAGTGGTTGGATTTAAACTAGAAAACCTGTATTTTGCATCCATCATTTTCAGTTTCAAACAGGAATCTTAATTTAGAGGGTAGACTTCAGAGAGCCATAACCTAGCGCCAGGTATGTCCAACAGTCCTATATTAAATTACATTTTACTTAAATTGCAGATTTAGCTCTCTTTCATTGTATATGCTTACTTGATCTTAGTTTTCAATGCTGTACTTTATTTTCCTTACTGTAATAACGGATTTTGACTTGTTTTACTCACTGGCGACTAGTTATAGAGTATCAATCCGCTCCATTGTAGGTCTTAAAAGGTAAAAGTTATTTTGACGTAGAAATTTTGACAACTGTTTTCCTCGTATGAGTGATTTAAGGCGATTACGTCTATGTGATACCTTTCTGTGCCCACTGCATATGAACAGATTTTTAAGATACTTCCCTGATTTGATTGTCAGTGTCTCTGAAGCTTTATTTTCTTTCATAATTTTATTAGGAAAAAATGGATTACTGTCTGCGGAGCTTTGTCGTTTTGCTGACTTGTTTAACTTTCTGTTCTGTATTACGCCCATTGAAATCTTCATTGACAGTACCCCGTGCCTAGAACATCAATGTCTCCTCAAGTCTAGAGTTGTCATGTACGCTGCACCATTCGGGATTTCGGGAGAGTCCTCTAGAGTGTTCCTGAATCGTCTCGAACCTCCCAGAAGTTTCTCGTCGTAGCTTCCAGAGCTCTGCCCCCTCCCCTTTTGCAAGCCCGTCTCAGTTGAATTTCCCGCGGAATATTGCCAACTGCCGCTTGTCTAACACAAGTGTTACTTATCTTTCGGCAGTCATTAAGTCGTATTCATTGATTTTTCGTAATAAATGCCGTGGTTTGAACTTAAGTTGCTAGATTTTAAAGGACTTTCTTGGTAATTATAGTGGTCACAAGTTGACCTTTTAGTATTTCATGTTGGTACCGGCACGGCCGCGCCGGGGATTGGCTCCCAGCGTGCTCTGATTGGTCGCAGCCTTCCCACCCTGGCCGCCGTCTCGTCGGTGATTGGCTGCCCGCTCGCACTGCCCTCGTAGAATCTTCTCGTCACTTCTCGTCATGTTTTGAAGATTCCTCTGAAGTATAAAACCGTTCCACGCACAGTGTTCCACAATGTCATTCGGATTTCGTGACAAGGATAGACCGTCTCTGCGTGACCGTTTCCGAGGGAAGTCTGGTGATCAGATACTGGAAGAGCTTCGGAAGAAACTGGATAAAGACAAGGAGATGTTCTTCGAAAGAGTTCCAAATCCACCTAGTTTTCGGAGGGTGAGTCGTGTTGCTGCTTTCCGTCTTGTTGCTTAACTAAGCGATATTTTCCCCAGTGCGGCCGCGGTGAGGGTTGGCGGTGCTCCAATTTGCTGTTTGTGTAATTTTCTGCTCTTACCGATCATTTTGTGCGACTGTCTTGCGTTGGAACTCATTTTATGTGAAAGTTTGAGGTTATTGTGTGCTGTTGGTGAGTGGTCGTCCAGTCGTTCACCTTGAAGTCACTTGAGACTGTTACTCAATTGAACTTTACTTGCGCGTGTGTTTGTTTGTTCCTGTGTGCGTTTGCCTGCATATTGCCCCCTTGCTGGGTTAATTTGTTCTCTGTGAAATAATCCACAGTGCTCAAGTGTCCTTGATAATTTAGCCCCATGCCCTTTGTTTAATGTTCATCATTAGTTAATATATTTAATTTTAATTATTTTTTCTCATTTTGGCTGCTGTCTAGCAGCGTGCGCACAGTTTTCAAAGCGTGCACCCGGCCACAATTAGCCCTCTGCATGGCTCTCAGACTCATCAGTGTTTGGCTTGCTTGATGGTTTAAAGTGGCCCTATAAATTTGATACTTGATTGTAGGGTCCCCTGCCACTAAGGTTGGTTAAAGCCATCGGGGCTTCCAAACCGAGCTAGACAAATCGCCTATGCCCTGTGACCCTTTGATCATGCCGGCAATGCGGGGTTGATACGATTATTAAGTAGTGAGCAGTGTGGCAGGGGGGGGGGGATTCCCCCCTCCCCTTTCCCATTACGTAGTCGGTTTCTTGCGCGCCACTCATAAGCTAAGAAGCAAGCCTCTGTTTGCCCCCGTCAATAGGCAATTATTGCCACCTTGCCCGCGAGCGTTCTCATCATCTTAAGGCTGCTACTGGACCCGCCTCTGGTTAGCAGTGTTAGCAGTCACCCCCTTCCCCCCTGACCCCCTTCCCCTCAGCTCTAATTCGCAGTAGTACTTGGGCTGCGTCCGGGAGTGGTCAGCGAGGAGCGGTCACTTTTCGGACGACACGGTAGAGGTGGGGCAGTAGTGGTTCGGCTTGCGAGTGGGAGAGGATCGAGAGGAAGCGACCGCGGGGTGGGAGGGGATGGGACGGGACGGGGCCCCAGCATCTCGGCCTGCCGGTTGAAACAACAGTCAGTCAGTCGAAGCAAAGCTGGCGAGCAGCAAGGACTGGAATCGAATCGGTCGTTCCCGCGCCTTGTCGTGTCGTGTCGTATCCGTGGTCGCGAAGAGTTGCCGAGGCAGTCCAAGTCCCTCGATCAGCACCTGGGCGTCGCAGTGCCGCTAAAGTGCTACCAACGTCGTCGTGCACACTGTCATGGCTAGCGACTCCTCCCCCGTGGACCTGCCGCCCCAGTACTTCCCGGTGAGGATCGGCACCGAGAGCGCCAGCTGCTGCATGCCACGGCGTGCTGGCCTTCCCCTTGAACCCTGGTGCGTCCACTGGCCGCGTTCGACGGCGCCCAGCAGACCGTGGCTCTGTCTCCCGCCCCCACTGGACACCCCACGAGCGCGAGGGAAACGAAAGCGATGATGGCCCTGCAGGCAGCGTGTCGCCATGGTGCGCCAAAGCCGCGGCTTGCCGCTCGGCCCGACGCCTTGCACAGCCTAAGGCCCGAAGGCTCTCCTCGGCGGCGGGCCTTGGTTGCGTCTATTTCGAGTTGTCCCTGTATTTTTAGCGTTGCCGCGGAATGTGCATGCTGCTGGCTGGCAAAGTCAGGCCGCTTTGGAAACTCCGCCGAAGTGTGCCAAATGCGTTTGTCATCGGGGCGCCCGGGGTGGGGGATGACCGCCGTGGCCGTGCCGTGCCGCCGTCGGGAGGTTGTCGTCGAACGTGTCGGAGGGTTCGGCTCGTTGACGTGCGTGCGCCGAGCCGCCGAGCGTGCGCTGGCGTGCGCGTGAGCTCGCAAGTGCCTGCCTCTAGGCCTGCCTTGCTTGCGCCGTCCGTCAGCCTTTCAAATTTGCAGTGTTTACCAGGTGGATGAGTCACGCGCCGAGCCTGTCCCAGCCTGGCCTGCTGAGCTGGGCGCCCCCCACCCTTCCGCCGCCACGCGCCCCGCCCCGCGGCCGGCCCGCGGCGCCCACGCCTCGCCCGCCTTACTTTTGTCCGCGGTGTCCGGACGGACGGTCCGGATGTCGGGGCGGGGCGCGCGGCCAATGGGGCTCGTGGGGGTCAATGGGCCGCAGAGGAAAGACGAATGTGTGTTTGAACCCGTTTCCCTTCAAGTGCAAACCAACTGACCGTGTCGTGTTGTGCTCGTGTTGCAGGCGGGGTTCCCATTCGACGATGACGGGCTGACGTCCCGCGGCCGCCCCGACTTCAGACACCGCCTGGAAGAGTTGGCCCAGCAGCACCCCGAGTTCGCGGACAGCTTGCGGCCGTGGTACGAGCAGCAGCAACAGCAGCAGCCCCAGCAGAGCGCCGCCGGGGATATGGGTTGGGGCTTCCGACAGCGGACTGGCTCCAACACTTCGCAGCCCCAGGCAGAGCCCCAGCAGCAGCCAGAGCCCAAGTGCGAACAGCAGCCGGCCCCGCAGCAGCAACAGCCGCAGCCCCAGCCGCAGCCCCAGCCCAGCCGCAGCCCGGACTGGCGCACCACGGCCTGAGGAACACGGTGGACCTGGGCGAGGCCAAGGCGCAGGCAGAAGCACAAGCAGCCATGGACGGCCAGGACGACCGCGTCAAGCGCGCACAGTCCGCGCCGCCCGCCCCCGAGCAGGCCGGCCAGGGCGGGCCCCAGCGCTTCGTGTCGCGGCTCGACATCAACCCCCAGCCCTCGCAGCCAGCGGCCAGCCAGGACCCCGCGGCCGCCAAGCCGCCGTCCGGACCCAAGCAACAGCCCCCCAAGGCGGGCGGCAGCGGTGCCAACGTGCGCCAGATCCCCATCTTCGTGGAGGGCCGCGACGAGCCCGTCATGGCCAAGGACGAGGTGGACTCGTCGGCCGCCAACTTCGGCCAGGGCTTCCCGCACCACCAGGGCCCGTCGCGGAGCGGCTTCGGCCAGGGCTTCTCGAGACACAACATGGGCTTCCCGTCGTGGCGCGAACAGAACCACGAGCAGGACGCGCCGCAGCAGAAGCGGCCCTTCCCGCAGCCGCAAGCGCCGCCCACCCGCCAGCAGTACCAGCAGCCACCGCAGCAGCAGCACCACCAACAGCAGCACCACCAACAGCAGCACCACCAGCCTCACCCCCAGCCATACCCCCAGCAGCAGCAGCCTCCACGCCAGCAGACGCCGCCGCAGCAGCCCGCCCCGCAGCACCCGCCGCCGCCGTCCAAGCCCAAGGACCCACTGGAAAAAGTGCAGGAGGTGCGCGTCGAGGTGGAGTCCCTGTCCAAGGACGTGGACGAGTTCGTCGGCACGCAGAAGGACAAGAGGTACATCTACCTGGACGAGATGCTGACGCGCGAGCTCATCAAGCTGGACGTGATCGAGGCGGAGGGCCGCGACGACGTGCGCCTGGCGCGCAAGGAGACCATCAAGTTCATCCAGCAGTGCATCTCCAGGCTGGAGGCCAAGGCGGCCTCGCCGGCCTCGCCGGCAGAGCCCATGGACGTGGGCCCTGCTTCTAGTCAGAGCGACAAGACTGAGGCGGCGGTCGCCGCGCCGGAGGCCGTGCCCGAGGCCATGCCGACGGACTCCCAGCCGCTCCCCGCGGACGCCGCGCAGGCCGTGGAGGCCAACGCCGCGCCCGCACCGTCCCAGCCAGAGCCCGTCCCGGCCGCCCCGGCCCCCAGCACTGCCACCGACAACGCCGACACCACACAACCGCCAGCCGCGTCGTCGTAGTGAAGAGACAGTGCAGTATTTTGTTTTTAATTATTTTTCTTGACCTGTTTGAGTGAATTGTGTTCGTTGGAACTAGTACCTGACTGAAGATAAACTGAAACTTAAAAGTGACGTCTTTGTTGTCCGCTGTGCGCGTAGTGGCGCGCGGTGTGTGGGAAAGAAATGCAATCTCGAGAGAAAGTGTGGGTTAAGAAAGTGAGTGGTGGCTTTCGGGAGTGTGTGATGGAGAGTGAGTCGCGTGAGCTCAAACGTGCTTCGGAATATTGTGAGCCCGGTGAGTGTTCACAGGTCTATTTTTTTGAATTGTTTTGAGTGTCGCTGGGCATTACTTTCCACTATGTTGTGTTACTTTTTTAATTTAAAGCAATGAAGTTATTTATTATTTTATGCTAGCCAAAGAGATGTCGATTTCTTTTTCACTTGCGCGGTGCGACAATTATTGTTATCCCGATCCTGATTTGTTTTTTAAATTGTTAACTGTGATATTTATGCCTGTGTATTAGTTGTGTTAGCAGTATATACATCAGCCCTTCAAACAAATTGTTGCTTTCCAAGCAAAGAAACACGCCATAGTTTTCAGTAATTCTGATACGTCATTTTTTATGTCACTTGTTTCTCCTCTCAAACTTGTTACACTGTAAATAACATTAGAGTAATTAAATAATTCCATCAGTGCAAAACCTTCTTCTCTGTCTTCATTTTCCCCCTTCCACATTCGTCACTACTTGTTTCAATACCAGAATGCTGCTCTATGAGATGAAAGTCGGGCAATGCGGTCGAAGTCGAGACACGCCTTTGTCAACAGACACCGTCACTTGATCTTCGGGAGGTTGATACGACCAGTGATGTCGTCGCTCTGTCTCTCTCGGACTAGTAGGGCGGGTGCGACAGCGACGAAGCCTGCAGACACTGCGTCGGGGCGTCCACTAGGTGCGCCGCTGGCTACTCTGCCGAGGCCTGTTGCACTCTGTGAGCTGATGGACATGATAGGGCGACGCGCGAGGCGAAGTCAAGACCGCAGGGCTCCATGAATGGGCTAGTGCCTGGGCTAGTGCCTCGGCTAGTGCCGGCTGGAGCCTCGCTGGAGCCGCGCTGGATAAGGCCTGCAGAGTCCACGCGCTGGCCGCCCCGTGCCGTCCCACAGCACACAGGGCCCCGCCACCACGCCCGAGCCGCGTCTGGTCAACACGGCGCCCCGTCCGCACAGCGGCGCCTGTCTCTCTCGCACCCGCACGAGACGCGCGACGAGTGCGAGGGAGACAGACCGACGCACTGTTCGGAATCTCCGCTGTCCACCTCGGCGCGGCTCGCTTTAGACGTAGTCGCGAACGCGTGGGATTTCGCCGGCCGCGCCCCGCCCCGAGTCTTCTGCAGGCTCGTTCCGAACCGCGCTTCGTCGCGCCGTCTCGCTCGCACTGGGGGGCGTTCCGAGCGGGGCGCGAGAGAGACCGGGCGAGATCGGGCGGCGGCCAAGGCGGCGGCCGTGCCCGACTTCCCCGACGAGCGTGGGCGCGGCCAGCGCGGCCAGCGCGGTGCGGCGGCAGTCCTGCCCTGCCCCAGGCCAGGCCGGGCCAGGCCGCGGACTCGACACTCGACTCGGTCGCTCCAAATCCGCGCCTCTCGCATCTCATTTCCCAATATCTGCGTGTATTGCGCGTCGCCCGGCCACTCGACGATTATGATGGCCCAGAGGCAGGGGCCGCACACTGGAAATCTAACAAAGTAATTACGTCACATTTGATTGAACGCGAATCGTGTCACATGTTCGTCGCAACATTTTGTCACACTCGCTCCTTTTATTGTGCATCGGCCCGGGCGAAATGGAGACTGATATCGCGCTGGTGTTGCGTCATGTTGGAACAAACGTGACACGATTGCCGTCGAAACGAACGTGACGCCACATTCCTCGATTACCAGTGTATACGAGCGCGCGCACGGCCGCGCACGGGGGCGCCGTAAAACGAGGTGGCTCGCCGGCTTGTGAGTAAACACGGCCCGGACCGCCGCGTCGCGCCGCGTCGCCAAATCGTGTTGGCAGCCTTGCGGACCCTGCGGGCGGAGGACAGACAACATTGCAGTGAGGAAAGACAAGACGCCGGGGACGTGGTGGTGTGTGTGGGTTCGCTGCCAGGTCCCTGCAGCAGACTGATTCCGAGAGTCGGTTTTGATCGCTCGGTCTTTCTCGCACTCGTGTGGTGTACGTACCCTTAGGTGCGAGAGAGACAGAGCGACATAAGCGACTCTTCGGCATGTCCACGACGACGGCGGCCCTGGGAGCGCCTTACGAGGTCAGGGTAGGCCAGCCCGCAAGGCACCCCAGCTCGGCGGGCTTGCCTAAGGCGCTCCCAGGTAGGCCGAACTTAGCCCTTGTCGTCTGAAAGTCGCTGTCAGCGTGGGGCTCGGAGTGCTGGGGCTCAGGTCGGGGCTGAATACAGACAAGGTAGGGCCAATGAACTTGCAGGTCAACTTCCAGGTCCGCGACGACGGTGTTCCGAGCGCCTTGCGAGGCCAGGGTAGGCCAGCCGCGCGACACTCTGCTGCTCGACGGGCCTCGCAAGGCGCGCTCAGGACCCCGCGGCACTTTCTTCTTGAGCTGCAGACTGATTCCGAACTAGCGCTTTCGTCGCTCTGTCTCCCTCGCACCTATCGGGGACGCGCCAAAAGTGCGAGGGAAACAGCGACGAGAGCGATAGTTCGGAGTGCTGGCCCAGTGCGTGGGTTGCGTGTGCACTGCGTGTCGCCACGCGGTCGAGTCACCTGCGGGGGGCTCTCGCCTCTCGCCGCGGTCATCGCCAAATACCGTCCCGCCGAGGATTTGGCGCGCTTGGCGGCGCGGTGACGTCACGGCGTCCGAGAGGAATCGCTTCCAAATAAGCGCGGCCGGACCGCCACCGGACCCTGCGGAACGATTCCGAGAGTCGTTTTCGTCGCTCTGTCTCTATCGCATCTCTACGAGGCGCTCCATGAGCGCGAGAGAGACAGAGCGACGAGGACGACTCTCGGAATCCACAGCCTCCCCCTCCTCTCATCCGTCCGAGCGTCCCAGAGTCCGTCAGGAAGTGCGGGTTGTTATTGCGGTCCTCCTGGAAGTCCTGGGAGTCCTGGAAGCGACGCCCACGCGGGGCACGCGCGGCAAACATCAAACTGCAGAGCGATTCCGACTCTCCGTCCCTCTCGCCCTCGATGGGCGTTCCGCATGGGTGCGAGAGGGACGACGGAGCGGCGGAATCAGTCCGCAGCCGGAGCCGCCCGGAGTCCCCGAAGTGCGCAGCACGCAGCACGCGCAGCACCGCCTTTTCCGTGTCGTTTACATCGCGTCTGTTCGATCTGTCTCGGTCGCGTTCGCAGCCAGCAGACTGAATCCGAGAGTCCTTTTCGTCGCTGTCTCTCTCGCACTCTGGGCGTCCCGTGCAGGCGCAAAAGAGACAGAGCGACGAAAACGCCTCTCGGAATCAGTCAGCAGCCGGTGATACTGATTATGCTGGGTGGCTGGCTCGTCACCTGTTCTCGCCGTGCCGCCGCTCGCGTGGGCCGCGGCCCGGGGTCACCATGTTGGGCAAGGCGTTGGGCACTCCGCTCCGCGGCACGCGCGACGGGGCGCGACGCGTGCTCAGCTGGGACGGTGACGTCATCGTCCGTCAACACGGCGTCAGGCGTCACCGCCACACCGACAGGACGCGCCGTGACGTCCGCCGGTCCGCCACCTCGGCCGCCACCTCGGCCGCCACGGCGAGAAAGGAAGGAAGGGCCTGCAGACTGATTCCGAGAGCCGCTTTCGTCGCTCTGTCTCTCTCGCGCTCATGGGGCGTCTCGTATGGGTGCGAGAGAGACAGAGCGACGGAAACGACTCGGAATCAGGCTGCTCAGCACGCGGCGGCGGCGGACCGGCGGCGGGGCAACGACACATCTATTCGACCGTGGGTACTCGCTGCGGAGCAAGCTCAAACAACTCAAACGGTCTCATCTCAAGTTCACAAAAAATGATTTTATTTCAGAGTGTGATGCGCTTTTGATGGCTTTGATTCACGGCGCGTCGCGGCTCGGCTCTCGCTGCGCGTCGCGGGGTCGGGGCGACGAGGTGGGGCAGGGCGCGGCGCGAGTGGCGGGAAGGTCCGTGCCCTTATATGGCACAGCCGGCCGACACGTCACGCGGCGACGCGGACGCGGCCTGCCGAGCCGAGACAGCGACGAAAACGACTCTCGGAATCAGTCTGCAGGTACCCATTGGCTAGCACGTCGGCGCTTACTTGGCGTCGCGGAGCTCAAACGGCCCCGTTTGGGTCTCAAAACCCCAAAGATGAGTTGGCCATAACGGTGCATTAGGGCAGTGGCAAAATTTTCAGTTGGTGTGTCAGATATGGGAAGGACAAAACAATATAAATTGGTAGGCTGAGCTACATTGATCCATTTTATTTATATTACAGTAAAATTAAAACCAGAGAGTTTCACATGAAATTGATTAGGTTATAGCCAAAGTGGTCACAGAATAGACCAAGTATAAATTGTTTGTACAGTTGCAGATATTAAGAGGCATTTACCATTCTTGCATTGGTGTTTGGGACATCACTGCCCTCGATAATAATGGCTCTGGACAGATTGCGAGCAAGGCTCAAGCGAATGATTTGAATTTTTTCCTTGGTAGCTGCATCAAGAGTTTTGGATATACTTGATGGGTCCACCTGCAATCCAAATTTGAATTATTAAAAAGCTGAGGTTCTCATGAACACTTTGGTATAAAAATATACACCATTTCACCATGGACCCCTTAGCTATGAAGTAAAAATTACCTGTGTTAAGAGTTCTGTCTCTAATAATTCTAAGCAAGACAAGAGAATATCTGTGTCATTTGCTGTCAACACTAACTCTCTTGATTCCAATAAAGGTACAGCATGCATGAGTAGCGTTAGCTGGAAACTGAAAAAAAGGTGCAACAATTAAATACAAAAGCAAGAAAGAAAATTTTAAGGAGTCTTCAATAGGGATGAACCTACTTCTTAGGTGGAAGATGAGAACTCAAAAGTGATACAAGCAGTGATCCAGCAGCTCTCATTTCATTAGCTTTGTATAGTTGGTGGAATTCGCAATACTTGCCTAAAATCAATACATTTATGAACAAAACTTCAGTTTGTTAGAAAATAGTTAAAAATAAAAATATTGGATTCAGTCAAAAGAAAATATTTACCTAAGAAAGTGAGACGATCACTCACAAGCATACAAGAACCCAAATTATCTAAGAGGTCAGAAGCTTCAAACTCTCCTTTGGAAGCAAAACCTGCTAGGAACTTGTCTGCAAGGTGATTGGTTAAGTTGGCATCCATAGACCTCAGAGCCCATGCTAGGGCATTTCCCAGTCGCTCCTGCCTGAGAGATTTCGATGCCATAACTTTGCAAACAGTGGTAACTGAAATAAACATCATGAAAAATAATGAACACATCTACCGACAAATTAAATTGCATAAATTATTTTGAAAATTTGAAAAGAGATTCATACCAACTGAACCTAAACGTCTGTCATGGGCAATTTGCATGATTTTAAGAGCACGAGTCTCAGATGTAAGAGGTATTGCAGGGAGGAGGACTTCCAAGCGTTCCAGCCCTTGGGGAGGACAATGGTCCAGATAGCTGACACCAACTTGCCAGAGTGAAGGATGTGCCATTAACATGGTGCCATAATCCAGGAGGACATGCTCATGCAGCTGATGAGCAACACTGTGAAATTAGAAAATTCATGTAAACCAGGACAAAACAAGTAGCCCAAGTGGTTGACCTCTTAAAAAAAGCCTTACTTCACTTTGTTGCTATCAAAAATGTTCAAACGACCACAGAGGTAGAGGAGATTGGTTAAATGCACAGCAAACCACCCATTATCTGCCGTTTTCTGCAGTTCTTGAATAACTTCCAGAGGATTTGATTCAAATAAGAGAAGAATCAACTTGTCCAAATCCTGCATTTCAGAAGTGCTGCCAAATGCTCGCATTGCATGATCAGCATGGTAACTAAGGTCAAATGATTTCACAGTGGGTTCGGAGAAAAACAAGGTTGCTGTCATCAGCTGGTACCAGGTTCCACAATAACTGCGGATGGTATCCATTACTGTCATATCACCAGAAACAATCTGAAATTCACCCCAAAAAGATTATGTTAATTAATATTTTAACCACTTCATGCTAAAATAATACTTCACCCTCTTTGAAAAGGTCACTATGTAATAGTTGTTTTACCTTCATGATAAGCTCGAGGTCGGAATTACTGGCAAACACTCCATCTTCAACTTTGGTTCTGACATCTGCTTGCCAATGAGACCATTGAGCATTGAAAACAGAGACTGCTGTGCCACCATGAACCTTAAAACCAAACCATGTCTTATGAAGGAGAAAAGGCCGAAGACTGTTAAGATCAATCAGAAAACAAGAGAATAATTGACTTACATTGTAGAGGGGCATGGTGCGCAAACAAACATCAGCATTTTGGAAAGGAGCAGTTCTTGCATCGGAATGTAAAACAAGTAATGCTCTGGTGGCATCAATGCGTCCCTGAAGAAGGACACCGATGGTCGTCTTCCAATAGTCGGGATCTTTTTCAGCACTAGCTGTTTCAAATCCAGCTTCAACCCGTTCAGTGCCAGCTTGAAGCAGCAAGGCAGCTTTCCTCTCTGCTTGAGGACAGTGGAATCGAACCCATTCCAGTAACTGTGGCAATAGAATGTTACCTGTACGAACATAAATCTTATTAATATATTCTGTAATTAAAACTGAATTATGCAGACTCAAAATAATTCAGAATCTCTATTACCTGGTACAACATCAACAAACAAAATTTCACACAGATGCCAGATCAATTCTATGGCATCAAGAACTTTCACGACATCCACATAATAACTTGCTTTTAGGTTTTCACTGTGGTTTGACTTTTCTACCATGTCATAAAGATTGTTCAGACAAACCCTAATAATAGACCTAAACCAAAATGGAATTTATTATAATTTTAATGCCTCACTTATTTAGCATAGCAAATAAAAATATTGAATTAGACATGCCTGTATCGTCGGCTGAGCTTTAATAACTCAGGCCCATGGTCTCCACCGCTGTCCAAATTTTGGGCTAACTTTTGACCACTAAGGAAGGTGCCACAAGATTCATTCACCAATTTCCTCAAGCAAGGGTCAAACAGGATGGAATTTTTATTTGCATCAGAAGCCCATTTAGCAGAAATACCAAGAGTTTTGGATAGATCATCTTCAGAGCGCTACAACAAACCAATCATAAACACATGTTAAGACATACAGAACTTGTACACTGGATGTTAAAATAAAAACAAGATCATTGAACAATGGCATTTAAATACATTCTGAAGAGAAAAATCTATCGGGCTACTCCAGAATACGAATAAGACCGGTGTTGGCAAACGTAAACATAACCCAACACTGTCATAAGCCTTCAATGAATACTATTTAAAACACTCACAGCTCCATGGTTTGCAGTCAATTCTGCGCTTCCTTTGATTTTGAATTGAAGCCCTTTCAATGCCAGTGCGACGTCCATGTCTGACACTTTAGAAACTCCAATTAATTCAAAGAAACTGGCGCTCACGCCGTTGCGTGCGGTTTTTCACTTGCCGGCCGCCGCCGATGAATCTGCCAATAATGTCTAAAACGTTTATTTGCACGCGCTGTCTGTCTCGCTCTCTCTTGGACACTTTGATTTGATAAGGATCGCAGAGATTTTAAGAAGCGTGAACGAAAAAAAAATCGTTTGATTCCATGCCCTGTTTATGAAGTTATCCTTGTTATAAAACGCACATTTAATAAAGAAATATAAGGCTGCTGTCAAGAAGTCCATTCATTCATACACTTTGAAATTACCGCCCTTCACCAGTCAGGTCAAAGTGGCACCCAATTCATTCATGGAAAATAGAAAAATTTGATTGATTAGTGATATATTCTTGCTTTCGATTTACATTAAATACGCTTCTTAATTATTTCAGGCGTTTCTTCCCTCTGAACTCTTTTGATGTTTACTGATTGCCAAAATCGTTGTATATCTGCCAGCATGACAGGAAGCTTGGATCAGTTCAGTTGATCTAGGATTTTAGTGGGTTGTCAGGTTTGGTGGGCGGCATCCACCAGTCAGAAGAGATAATCGCTGTCAAACCAAATGACAGTTCTCTTCTAGACTATTTCACGGACTCTGAAAGGACTGGTAAGACTTCCTCGCCACCCATTGATAAATTCTGAGCCCGAGCTACCGTTGAGGAGTTGCTTGCCGTTTTGCATTCAGTCAGTCAACTTCGTTCTCATGCCTCTTGAATAGCTTTTCTCTTATCACCTATCGCTTTTGCCATTGAAATATGTAACTCAGCGATTTCTGTTCCGTGGTGCCCTTGCTGTTGGCCCTTTTCGCCTTTCAGATACGTCCTGACGATGCTTTAGATAAACGTCAAGTCAGGTTATGTTCTCTGGTCATTGGAAGGGTAGTTAAGTTCTGCTTGTCAGTTTTGTGTTAGTTGTTTGATTAGCATTGTTTCTTGAGTGTTGACAAATCTAATTTCCTGAGCAGCCTTCTCCCTCGTGTTGCCATTTGTTTTTGGTCTGTCTTTTGCATCTTGCCTCCTCCATTCTTGTACATTTGTAAGGACACAAGTCACTTGTTTGTTTGTCATTGGTTTCTCATTGGTCTCTGTATTTTTAGGTGAGAAAATCCCACCATGATTGGAGGGTTGTTTGTGTACAACCACAAGGGGGAGGTGCTAATCTCACGTGTGTACCGAGATGATATTGGACGAAATGCTGTGGATGCATTCCGTGTCAATGTCATCCATGCAAGACAACAAGTCCGCTCTCCAGTTACCAACATTGCCCGTACATCCTTCTTCCACATCAAGGTTTGTTTTGTTTCCTTACTGCGTCTATCATTTCTTTATTATTGACTCCATAATTAACTTGTGTCTTCTTCAGCGTGCAAATATCTGGTTGGCTGCAGTAACCAAGCAAAATGTTAATGCCGCAATGGTCTTCGAATTTCTCCTGAAGATTGTTGATGTCATGCAATCATACTTTGGAAAGATCTCTGAAGAAAACATCAAAAACAACTTTGTTCTCATCTATGAACTTCTTGATGGTAATTTAATCTAGGAAAATAAAACTGATAACAGTGTTGTGTGTGTGTGTGTCAGTGTTACATAATCTAATTTTGTGATTGTTTCAGAAATCTTGGACTTTGGCTATCCTCAAAACTCTGACACAGGAGTGCTGAAGACTTTCATTACACAGGCTGGTATCAAGTCCCAGACCAAAGAGGAACAAGCCCAGATCACTTCTCAAGTGACTGGGCAGATTGGATGGCGTCGCGAAGGAATCAAGTATCGCCGCAATGAGCTTTTCCTTGATGTTCTTGAATATGTGAATCTCCTCATGTCTCCTCAGGGTATGCCTCTTTTTCAAATAATGATTTTTTGCATTCTGCTGTTCTATCCACTTGTGTACTATTTGATTGACATTGTTCTTTTCTTTAGGTCAAGTCTTGTCTGCACATGTCGCCGGAAGAGTGGTAATGAAGTCCTACCTCTCAGGAATGCCAGAGTGCAAGTTTGGAATCAATGACAAGATTGTAATGGAAGCCAAGGGCAAATCTTTGGTGACCAGTGGAGGCGGTGGTCTTGGTGGAGCCGATGACCCAGCTCGTTCTGGAAAGCCTGTCGTGGTTATAGATGATTGCCAGTTCCATCAATGTGTCAAGCTTTCTAAGTTCGAAACAGAGCATGCCATCAGTTTCATACCCCCAGATGGCGAATTTGAACTTATGCGGTAAGTCATTTATTGACAAGGTGATTTAATTTTTAAGTTAACGTTTCTAAATTTTGCTTTGTGTTCAGGTACCGAACAACTAAAGATATTTCACTGCCCTTCCGAGTAATACCATTAGTACGCGAAGTTGGCCGCACTAAAATGGAGGTCAAAGTTGTTCTCAAAAGCAATTTCAGACCAGCATTGCTAGGTCAGAAGATTGAAGTTAAGATCCCCACACCTTTGAACACTTCTGGGGTGCAGTTGATTTGCCTCAAAGGAAAGGCAAAGTACAAGGCGTCTGAAAATGCCATCATGTGGAAGTAAGCTGATTTAATTTCTCAGAATTCTCTACCACTCGTCTTTTTTTGGATCTCTGCTAAATTATTTACTTTCAGGATTAAGCGGCTTGCTGGAATGAAAGAAACTCAACTATCGGCTGAAATTGAATTGCTGGAAACTGATACTAAAAAGAAGTGGACAAGACCTCCAATTAGCATGAACTTTGAGGTGTGTTTAAACATCTGATACCAGAAGGTTCTCCCTTCAATTAAACTTTTAACCACAGTTTGCTAACCGTGTCTCTGGCCTTGGTTTCAGGTACCATTTGCTCCATCTGGCTTCAAAGTTAGATACCTGAAGGTGTTCGAATCCAAACTGAACTACTCTGATCATGATGTTGTCAAGTGGGTGAGGTATATTGGGCACAGTGGGTTGTATGAAACTCGATGCTAACTGGAATAGTAAGAGATTCAGAAACAACTTTGCCTGTCCCTATTTACTTATGTTTATTTTTTTGCCATTGTAATCATTCCCAGTCACTTTATCAAGATAAGTGTGTAAGCAGTTCTTTGTAAGAATGTGTTTTAAAATTTGCTGAAGCAAAGTTGTTTTTAATCTTCGTAATGGAGCATTGTATGTTACTTGTGTGGCTATTTGCTCTCTAGTTGAAAATGTGCAATAATTTTGTTGATTGAGCTGTATGCCGTTTTATTGAAGGCTAAGAGATCTGTGAAGGCATGTATTAATATTGTTTCATCTACGTCTCTGGCAGAATTTTAGTCAAATGTTTATGCTTGTGATAGCCATGAATGAATGTCATGTTATTCATAGTAACATTTTTGAACCAAACGTACTACACTATTTTGGGGTTTGAATCATTTAATCCAGTGATATTCAAATGCAAAGTATCATGTGGTCAGTCCTTATTTGGTACTGAACCAAAGTGATTTTATTGAGTATTGAAGCTATTGAGCTTGTTTTTCGTTTTTCTAGAGGTGTTAAAGTTGTAAATGTGAACATAATCATATTCCTATTTGTAGATAAACATATGTACACAAAGTATATAAATATCAGTGTTAAAATTTGAACTTGATGTTTCTCAGGAGTGAACTGAAAATAAACTTTTGAACCACCATTCTTTCATTTACTTCGTCTCCTTGGGCATTGGCAAGAAATGTGGACACATTTAAAATTTTCTGTGAGTTACTACAGGAGTTGAACAAATTGATTTAATAATAATATTAACACTAATTGTACATGGTGAAACATGGGAACATAATTAGCAAATGCATATTCAATACTTTGTATGGAACTTGATAGCTTACAGTTGAGGACTGAAATTGCAATGTGTATCATATGGTGATATCAGCTTCAGTTGAAACACATTTTCCATTTTGAAAATATTCTTGCACTATAAGTTGCACATCCTTCTCATCTGAAAAATCCAATTGGGAAATTATAGCATTCAATTGCTAAAACTGCATGCAATACAGGATGAATTAGTTGTTTACCTGGATTATTCTGATTTTCCATCAATTTGGCAGAAATGTGCTTTGCTAACTTTTTGAAAAGGTCCTTTGAGGCTATTTTCTGTTTCTTGTACAATGGCATAAGATGTTTGACAGTTAGAGCAGCTATGGCATCTTTATCTTTTTTTTCTGGAATAATTCCATTAGGTGAGCCGACTACTACTAACTCATCCGGTCCAAAAAGTTCTAGGAATCGTTTTTCCAATCTGGCTCTTTTCTCTGGACCTTCCTCCTCTTCCAGTCTCTTCATTTTTCTCTGAAGATCGGATTCATGTTTCAATCGAAGCAAATGCCAATTAGGCACTGTTTGACCATTTGGAACATCGGGAGGCACTGGTTTTATTCTGCCTGACACTGCCTTCTTCGTTTCCAAAGAATCAGGCTGAGGAGTGGGCATTGGAAGATTAATAGGACAAGGCTTGGGAGGGGGAGAATCCTTCAGTGGGACCGGACTAGGGATTGGACTGTCAACCCTTTCCCCACACACTCTGGCCATCTCTTCTTCAATTGATTCCATCGATGGCTCACTAGAGTCATCAGGGCGCCTTTCTGAAGAAGGGGGGCTGAAGAATCTGTCTTCATTAAGCAATTTCTTTGTGTGCCTTGTTTGTTGATCTGAATTTGAATAGCCATAAGAGGCTTTCACAGAGCACTTAGAAGTCATATTTGCTAAAGTAAACACATCAATGCACTGGAAACTGTTGAGAAACAAAGCACACTGTCGAGACGATGCATACTCTCAAATAGACACATTGGCAGGGCTCTTCGCTATGTTATCAGGCTGCCGAAGAATGAGGAGTTGCTTGTAAGTATTTTCCAAACCTAGTAGGTAATTCAAATAGAATGAATGGACCTGCAAAAATAAAAATAGCAACAATTATTAGAGAGAACTACATGAGACACAAGTCCATCAGCAAGTGACCCTCAGTAATGTTGACTAAAAATTTGGGATGAACAAAAGGACAAGCTGAACACAGAACAACATAAACGTCAGTGACAGAAATGTAATCACCTGACAAGTGATTTCAAAAGAGTTTGCAAAGATTCTATGACATAAAGTGACCTTCGACTCGAGGCAACACCAGGCTTGCACCTTGATGACCGAGAACCAGAACCACTCACTTTTCCTTCCGGGAAATCAATCAAATCGACCAAAAGAGCAGGAAAACTGGGGACCTGGCGCTGAGGAGCCAATCCCAACCCTTTTGGCAAGCGAAAACAAGCAGGCCAACGAAAAGAAAAACAAACAAAAGTGCAACTCGGACCTCGCGCCCTTGCCGTCGACAGTGACTGCGACGGGAAGCCCTCAGAGGCGCCCAGCCACTCGAAGTGCCTCCCGGGGCTCGACGGGCGACCCTTGCCGCAGGAAGGGAAGACGTTTGCCCGGACAGTCCGACGCGGAGGGGTGCAAACGCCGCCCCGCAGCACGGCACCCGTTGGCTGCCCTGCTCCCGTTTCGGCTGGGGGTGGCAGGGCGCGGCGCGGGGCGGGGCGCGGCGCGGGGAGGTGAAGGAGAGGGAAGGGAAGGCAAGTGCCCCGTGCACGCTTGGCGGTGCTTGGCGGGCGGGTTTGATTCGTTTGCACTTTAGTGCCCTCTAGATGTAACTCACTTGGATTCTCAGCGAAGACAGCCCGGCAGCCCGTGCAGAAGGGCGCCAAATCTCTGCCCGAAGGCGGCCTTCCCCCGTCCCGCCTTTCCCGTGCTTTCCCGCCACTGTAAAACCCGTAAAACCGCACACGCTGCGGATTCGCTCCATTTCGTTGCGGTGCGTCCCCTATATGTGCGAGACATACAGAGCGACGGAAACGACTTTCGGAATCAGTCTACAGGCAGGACGGGGGAAGTCCCGTGGCGTGGCCTGGGCGTGGCGGTGTGTGATGCGAGTCACAGCCCTGGTGCAAGCACGCCGACGTGCCGGCCGTCCCGGCAGGGCGAGGGCGGCGAGGGTCGGCAGGTATTGTTGGGTTATGGCCAGGCCATGGCGCTGCGCGGAGCATGGCCGCGTCCTTCTACACGAGTACGAGCAGCGCGGGCGGGGCCGGGCCGAGGCCGGGCTGCCATGACGTGTCCACAGGACGCCGTGGACGCCGTGGACGCGGCCCAGCGCGGCCCCGTGCCCCGCCACGCCACGCCAGCCCCCGCAGCACGCCACCCCCGCTGACAGCACCCCCGTCCTCGCGCCCTGTTTTTGTTTATCTTTTTACAGAGTACGAGGTCTTGTGCAAAATCGGCGAGGGCTCGTTTTCGGAGGTTCTGAAATGCCAGGACCGGAACACAGGCCAGCTGTTCGCGGCCAAGAGGCTTCGGAACGCGTACCGGTCGTGAGTTCCTGGTCCTTCCTGCCCTTGAATGCCTTGAATGGAGCGGCTGTCTGCGAGGGCGCGAGGGCACTGCAACCCTGTGCCGCGAACCAACCGGCCCGTTCGCGCCCTGTCGAACGCAGTAATGCAAAAGCCTCTCCTGCCTCAGCCCCGTGGAGGCCGCCAACATCCCCGAAGTGGTGGCGGCGCGGAAGCTCAAGCCCCATGCCAACGTCCTGCACCTGCTGGAGCAGCACTAGTGCGTTCCCTTCCTAGCGCGGTGGCCGCCATGCCGCCATACAGGCCGTTTCTAAACCGTTTGTCATGCCCGGCCCAGCGACGTGGCTTCCGGCTCCGTCACGCTCATCTTCGAGCTCATGGAGCGATGCCTCTACGAGCTGCTCCAGTCCAGAGTCAGGCAAGCCGGCACGCGACGACCGGGACTCAAATACCAACGGCGCACAGTGGGCCAGATGAGCGATGGAGGCGACCAAAACTCTAGACGCGTTTTGAGCTTCAGAGTCGCTAAGGAGGACTCGAACCGAACGTGTGACCCCACCAATGGATCCTTCGTTCGGAGAGCAATCCATTGGTAGGGTCACACGCTCGGTTCGAGTCCCATTTACGGACTCTGGAGCTCAAAACGCGTTCGGGGTTTTGATCGCCTCCACGGTCCCTCTGGCCCACTGCAAACACCGACGGCGCGGTGCCTCGAACACTTTGCCCCCTGTCCCGACAGGACGCTGCCAGAGGTGCGCGTGCGCTCGTTCCTGTACCAGCTGCTGCAGGGCTGCGAGCACCTGCACGGCAACGGCATCTTCCACCGCGACGTCAAGCCCGAGAACATCCTAGTCAAGGGTGACTGCGTCAAGCTGGGCGACCTGGGCTCCATCCGGGGCAGCTACTCCAAGCCGCCCTACACGGAGTACATCTCGACGCGCTGGTACCGCTCGCCGGAGTGCCTGCTCACCACGGGCTTCTACGGGCCCAAGATGGACATCTGGGCGGCCGGCTGCGTCTTCTACGAGATGCTCACGTCAGTGTGCACGCCTGGCGCGCGGCTCCGGCGGGCTGATTCCGAAGAGTCGTTTCGTCTCTCTCGCACTCATGGGGCGTCCCGTGAGGGTGCAAGAGAGACAGAGCGACGGAGTGGCTCTTCGGGATCGCTCGACAAAGCCCGTCAACACCACGACGAGCCAACACCTCCAGGCGTTCAAACGGCAACGCGTGGTCGCCCCGTTTTTCGGCGGTCGATACGACGAGCTGTGATGAACAGGAAATAAACACGTGGACGTGGCGGGGCGGGGTGGGGCGGGGTGGGGCGGGGCAGGGCAGGGCGGGTGGATCAGTGCAACCGCACCGGAGGGCGTGGCGCGCCGTGGCGGCGGGGGGCAGCGGGGGCGAGGCCGTGTAAGCCAGTTGCCTCTTCATTATTGACGAGCGAACACGGGGCGGGGCGGCCCGACTGCAGACTGCAGAGCCTCTCTGTCTCTCTCGCTCCCTTACGGAACGCCCCGCGAGCGCGAGAGAGACGACCTGCTGGCCCAGTGCCCGTCTCACCGGGACGAATGACAGGGAGAGCCAGCCGGCGGCCACCACTGCCCCCACGCACAATGCGCCCACTGTCCATAGTCCATTGTCCCCAACGGGGCTCGGCTTGCTTGGCTTGCTCGGACTGGTCGGCCTGCCGCGGGGCTAACCGGCCAGGCAAGCCCTGCAGGTGTGGGACGCAGCCCAAAGTGGGGCCCAAACCGCATCGACCATGGACACGGCCACGCGGCCACGCGGCCTCACGCCGGACTCGGCCTGGAGGGGCGTGGCGCGGAGTGGCGTTCTTGACGAGTGGCGGGGCGCGGGGCGCGGGGCGCGGCGTCCAGCAGTCCGGCGGGTGCAGGGGCGGGCCAGGGCCGGCGGGGCCCGTACCGCGCTGTGATTGCTCGCCTGGCCCGCCTTACTTGCACTGCGAGTTGCCGCGTTGCCGGCGGCTTGCCGCCATCGATTCGGCGTTCGGCGGCGTGTTGCGTCCCTCGTCCGGTTGGCCGAGGCCCACAAAGCCGACGAGCCGACCGGCCGACAGACAGACCCGGAAACGAGAATGCGCGACAATTATCGGCGATGGTGGTCGCGAAGTGGCACAGTGGCACAGTGGCGAGGTGGACGGAAGGGAGGGCCGGGTCGGTGAGGCAGACACGATGACCAGTGTTGCCACATCAATAGGAAAACAATCCCACAGGCGCCAATACATTGAAAGCGCTCCAGAACTCGTTCCAAACGCGGTTGCTCTCCAATGCGGCTTGAATCGGCCACTTGACTACACCAATGAAACACCCTTCGATCGAGGAATCCAGTAGAGTTCGCACGTCGGCGTCCTATTCGAGGAACGCGTTCAGAACTCGAAACGTCTGACGGCCGCAGGCTGAAGCCCCTGTTCCCCGGCTCCAACGAGGCGGACCAGCTGGCCAAGATCCACGGCATCCTGGGATCGCCGCACCCCAGACTCTACGCCAAGCTGCGCCGCCAGTGAGTGGCCGTGCGAGAGTACCACCAGAAGACCGATGCAGGCGGCCAAAATTTTAAGCGTGTTTTGAGCTCCAGGGTCGCTAAGCAGGAATCGAACCGAACGTGTGACCACACCAATGGATTCCTCGTTCGGAGAGCAATCCATTGGTGGGGTCACACGTTCGATTTGAGTCTCATTTAGCGACTGGGGCTCAAAACGCGTCCAGTATTTTGACCGCCTCCACCGGTCTTTCGGCCCACTGTGCAATGGTGCGGTGCTGGTTCAAACGTTCAAGCACCGGCGGCTCCCCGGTCGTTCCGTCCTTCCCTTGCAGCTGGCTGCAGTCGCGGTCACTGCCGCTGTTCCCCGACACGCCGGGCTGCGGGCTGGGCAAGCTGGTGCCCTCGCTGGGGGAGAGCGGGCGCGACCTGCTCCGGCTGATGCTGCTATACGACCCGGACCAGCGCGCCCCCGCCCGCCGCCTGCTTAGGCACTCGTACTTCGCGGACCTCCGGTGAGTGCGACGCGGAGTCCTTGTCGTTGAACCTGAAGTCACCGCGAGCGGCTGAGCGCGAGCGCCTGCCAACGGCCGGGTAGGCAGGCCCGCCACGCACGGCCGCGCTGAAGCCGAGGGGGCTGCCTACCCGGCAGGCTGACGACGGTTGCAAACCGAAGATCACGGACAAAACAAATTAATGAAACGATGCAAGAACCACGTTCGTTTGTATTTCTTGTGAAAATAAAAACATTGAGAAAACCGACAGAAACTGGGGGCGCCTGTCTGGCAGGAGCTGCGGCAGCGCGGCGTCGTCCATGTCCTCGGTGTGCACGCGCCGCAGTGTCCGCAGCGTCCAGGTAGTGTGGGAAGCACGGTGCAGCGCGGGGCCGGAAAGCCGACAGCCCGGGGACTCGAACCCGTGCGCCACCGTTCACCAGACTCGTCACTGGCTGTGCCTCCTGACAGCGAGCCCCGTCCCGCGACCCGGTGATGTCGCTGTGCTCCGGCTCGGGCTCCGGCTCCGGTTCCTGTGCCGGCACCACCGTCAACTCGGGCGGCGACAGGGCGCGCGACGTGCCCCGCACCAACAGCTGCGCCCCGGTAAGACTGCCGTCGTCGGCGGGGACCTCGATGGTGGACCTCGATGGCGGACCTCGATGGTGGAGGGCACGAAGTGACGTCCCGCCGTGCGCAGCCCTCCAGGATCCCCATGCGGCGGGGCTGCTCCACGCTGCAGCAGGCCATGCAGCAGGGGGCGCGCGCGCACGCCGGACTGGCGGCGCCGCCGGGGATGCGGCCGCGGGGATACGGCCAGCGTTCCTGCTCCACCAGGTACTCGACGTCGACGTCCGGGAGGCAGGCAGGCAGGCCCATGACTCGACCGCCGGCTTCCCCCTCCTTTGCAGCTTCCTGCCGCGCGTGCCGGCCGCGCACAGCGCCACTCTGCACGCCATCGCGGAGGCCCAGGCCCAGGCCCAGGCCCAGGCGCCGACGGGGGCCTTGGCGCCCCCCAGGAAGGTGAGGCTCCCCACCCTGCAGGGCCTGGCTGGCCTGGCTGGCCTGCCACGGCCGGTGAGCAGACGTCTCTGTTACCCATCCCCTTGGCCCTTGGCCGGCCGCACCTGCTGACGCCGACGTCCATGTCCGCAGCCCCGCCGCCCCGCCGCCGCGCTCTCGGAGGGCTCCAGCTCCAGGACGAGCGTCGCGGCGACCAACAAGGCCCTGGGCAAGGCCCCGGCCAAGGCGTCCACGTCGTCGTGCTCGTCGTGCGTGTGCCCCCCGGAGGCTCGCGTGTAGCGCAGTGTAGCGGGACGTTCCGGCCGCCGCCACCTCGCCGCCTCCCTGCGACACGCAACCCTTTGCAGACGAATAAACGCCGCGCTTTCTCGGCGCCTCCATCCTCGACCTGCTCAGCTTGCTCGACGTTCTCGACCCCATTCCGTTCCATCCCCCGATGTGCTGGGGCCAACTATTATCGTGGCGGCTCGGAACCGTCGGCAGGGGCCGCGACGGCCGCGTGGCCCAGTGAACTGGGTCGCCGATCGGCCGTCACCACAGCGGGGCGGGGTCGGGCGGGGCGGGGATGGGACAGGTTTGCCGGGCCGGCCCGCTGGACGAGCAGGGTGGACACAACCACGGCCACGACCCATTTGGGAAAGCCTTTCCTCCTACAAGTACGCTGCCCGACCCGCCTCGCCCCGCCCCGCCGCACCACGCCTTGGTCGGCGGGGGTTGCGCGCGCAACACCCCCACTGCCCCACCCCCTGCACCGCCAGCGCGGTGCGGCGGTGCGGCAGTGTGGCCGAGGCGGTGGCCCAGGGCGCACAGGCCAGCCCCCCGCGAGGCCGTCCAGGCACGCCGTCCAGGCAGGCAGCCGAGAGGGCCGTCGCCGCCCCAGCGTGGGTCCGAGGCCCGCCACGCCCCGCCACACCCTCAGCGACGACCAGCACGCCGCCATGACATTGCCGTCGCCGTCACCGCCGTCATCGTCAACGCCTTCGAGGACATCGGCTGGCCTCTGCGGCAGTGCTGCCCCCCGTCCTGGTCCAGCCAAGTGACGACCCGTAAGTACGCAGTGACGGCCGCGCGCGCGCGTGACAGCCTCGGTGCGGACCGACGGCCGACTGGCAGCCGTGCCGCCGTGACGACGGCGTCGTGACACGCCGTGACTGGCGTGACGGGCGTCGAGACGTGGACCCGACAAGTCCTTCCCGCGTGCTAGCTCGCCGCGCCCCCAGCGTCGCGCCCCCGCGCCCATTACTCTAGCTGCACGCCGCGGGCCGCGCTGTGCTGCAGGGCCTCGACGGCCTCGACGGCCTCGCCGCCAATTTGAGGGCAAGCCTCTCGTTCCGCTTGACGTCCAAACGGAGATAGATGTGAGACTGCGAGACCTTCCGGCGACAACACCCTCCCTCCCCCTCCCCTCTCTTCCCGCCGCCGCGGTTGTCGAAGCTGATCAAGTGGCGTGGGTTGGATAACATCATCACGACGAGCTGGAAGAGCGCTCCCCGGGGACATCGACCGCCGCCCCGCCGCCTTGCCGCCAAGGGATCATCTCGCCCTGGTGTTCATCCGAGCCCCGGCCTGGCCCTGCCGGCCCTGCCGGCCCTGCTGCGCCGATGGAATGGCATCTGGACCCGGCGCCGCCGTCCTCCTGGGATCGTTATCCTACAGAGCGATTCCGAACAGAGCTTTCGTCGCTCTGTCTCTCTCGCACCCCTGCGGAACGCCAGAAAGGCAGCGTGCCTCCGCCAAGTCACCGCGGACCAAGGCGCCAAGGCGGCGAGGTGCGGCCGAGCGCCACGGCCAAGCCAGCACGCCACGCGCGCCGTTTGACAAGTCCACTTAACGTGTTGGGGGCTGCCGGCCTTGCCGTCGGGGGCCGCTGCACGATGACACGACGCCCTCCCCTGCAGGACGGATTTCGAGTCGGTCTCTCTCTCGCACCCTTTATGGGACGCCCCATGAGTGCGAGAGAGACAGACTGGCGGGAGCAGTGCCCGGATCAGCCCGCCCTGACGGGGCTCCAACGGTAGTTAGGGCTGCCGATAGAGGCGTCGGCGTTATTCGCAGTCAGCGATAATGACGGCCGTTAGAGGCTCTATGCCGCGCCGGATTACCCCCATCAGTGCAAACCCCCTCCCCTCCCCCTCCCCTTTCCAACCGACAACACGCTACTCAAGGAGGGCAGTAAACCCCGTCAAGTGGCTGGAGACGCCGCTGCGGGTCTCCTGTCATCCCCCACCAAGATGTTCCGGGAAGTTTGGGGTTTCGTTTCGGAAAATTTAGGGTTTTGTTCCGGGAAGTTTGGGGTTTGGCTGAGGATGTTAGCGTAAAGTTTGCTAAGGTTTTGTTAGATTGGCTTATGTCACGGCAATGAAAAGGCGTACACTCCGGCACCACAGCTGCGAGTTTCCAACAAGCCTACAATGTTGTCATTTTGATATCATATTGACGGTCAAAATTTCGACTGAAAAAAAAAACATTTTACACTAATTTTGACGTTGCGGGTATTTTGGTGGCGTTATACTATTTTGGAGGGAGTGCAAGTTTCCCTCTGGGGCTGTTTCAAACAAGGGGCACGCTAGTGGCTGGGCGTGGGAAACTGAGGCTGCGCACTGCGGGCACTGCGCACTGCACTGCGCACCAAGCAGGGATGATCCTGGATTACCTGGGAGTGTGGCCGCTCTCGGCTCCGCGTGCCTCGCAGTGCCCCGCGGCTGACGCTCGGCGCGCTCGGCTGCCACCGACTGCCGTCTCGGCCGCCCCCACGAGCTTCGCCACGAGCCGCGCTCGCTGAGCCGAGCGATGCAGAAGATCGGATTGGCGCTCTGTCTCTCTCGCACCCTCACGGAGAGCCACACGAGTGCGACTGAGACACAACGACGAAGCGACTATTCTGAATCGTTCGCTGAGGCGGCGGCGGCAACACGACCGACTCACTGGCCACGGCGCCTCGGCAGTGCCGCGGTGCACTGGAGAAACGCTGATGCCGGACTTTTCTGGATTGCGAGCGGCGCGCACGTTGCACTGTTGCGACATGTGTGCCACACCTGCCAGCACAAAGTGCCCCCCCCCCCCCCCAAAAAAAAATGAAAAAAATGAAAAAAAAATCTTTGGACTTAGGCTGAAAATACTGTGAGTCGAAATGCCGAAAAATATGGAACGCAGTCACAGACGACCGCTATTCGTCCCGCCTCCCCATTTGGTGGTGGTGGTGAATCACGCAGTGAACGGACACGCAGCGATTGACAGTGCGGTCACCCGCTGACCCGCTGACCCACCTGAACAGCGGCGAAAGTAAAGCCCAGCGAGCTGGACAAGTCGGGCAAGCCGGCCGACGAACATGACGGCCAGCGAGCGGCGTCGTCATGAGATATCGACACGTTGACACAGTGGACACAGTGGACGCGCCCAGGCACACACACAAACGCACGCAGGTTCACTCTGACACGCCCGTCAGTGGGGCCGGGAGAAAATTGGGGGCATTAAAATGCCAAAATCGCGCCTGGTGGGCGTGGCGTGGCGGGTGCGACTGGTCGCGCGGCCGGGGCAACAGGTCAACCGTCCTGCACACAAGCTTGGCGCCGGGCGTCCGGGCCGCGGCTTGGCCCAGCCCGCCTCGCGTGCCGCCGTGCCGCGCGGCGCCATGGCGGCGTGTATCGCCATTGTCGTGCTGCCGTCGTGTCTGCCGCCGAGATAATGTAATATTGACCGGCTGCCCATCATCGGCGACACCCCGGCCGCCGCGACCACAGTGGACACTGCGGACACAGCGGACACCGTGGCCGACAAACGGGGTTCACGCGACGTCGAAGGGAAGACGCCGCCAAAGGACGCCGCCGCCGTTGTCCGTCGTGGACTCAGCACCTGGCGCTCAGTGGGCCAGAAGTCCGGTGGAGACGGCCAAAACTCGAGACACTCTATAAGCTCCAGAGACGCTTAACAGGACTCGAAACGAAAGTGTGACCCCACCAATGGATTCCTCGTTCGGAGAGCAATCCATTGGTGGGGTCACACGATCGGATCGAGTCTTGCTTAGCGACTCTGGAGCTCGAAACGCTTCTTGAGTTTCGGCCGCCTCCACTCCATCGGACTTCTGGCCCACTGTGCATCGTCCATCGTGGCGCGCGGCAGCCAGCACACTCGAAGGTGTCGGTCCGCAGGGCACCTGGAACGCCATCGAGGTCGGCTTTGTCTTGGATTGTGTGCGCAGAGGGAGGGGGAGGGGGCTCGCCTGCAGGGCGGGGGTGGGCGGGGCAGGGGGAGGCAGGGGTCGGCCCGTGCGGCGTGCCGGCGGCGTGCTGGCCCAGCCCCAGCGCACGCGACGCCGTGGACACGCCAGCGGCACGCCAAGCCAACAAAGGCAAGGGCTGCTGCACCGAACAGACCCCATTCCATTTCGCGGAGCTGGAAGAATAATCAAAAGGGGGAGCAAAAAGTAGCGATAAAATGAGAGGTGGACGGACGGAGTAATGGCTTTGCCTTTGGGCTGCCATTGGCGCGACGCGTGCGGCGGCCTCAATGTCGCCGGGAGCGTGACAGGCGGGATGGCTCTGCGGTCGCTCTGTCTCACTCGCACCTATACGGGACGTCCCATGAGTGCGAGAGAGACAGAGTGACGAAAACGACTCTCGGAATCAGTGTGCTGTCGGGGCCGTGCCCCGCCATGCCGTGCAGGGCGACGTCTTGATCCGACGGGTACGGTCGGACGGCGGCCGTGGCCGTGTCTCACCGAGGGGCTGGCGGGCCAGGGCCCCGCTCGCGGTGTGGGGTGTAGGGTGTAGGGGTAGGTCTGGGCGCCGAGCAGCAAGTCTGGCAGAGGAAGGGCGGGCCAGGGGCGGGCCGGGGAGGGCCAGGGAGGGCCGGGGCGGCAGGCAGGCCTAAACCCACTGCGCCAGTCATGCGGCCCGGGCCCACGGAGGCGGAGGGGGGGGGGGGCGCTGAGGTCATTGTTTGTGACAAAGCTCCCAGCATTGAGTTCCCTGACCCAGCTCGCGCCACCACCACGGCAGCTCCATTCGGAGCAGTGTCACCGACGCTCGTGGGGCCTCCGTTACGGGTGCGGTGGAGACAGAGCGAGGCGCTGTTTGGAATCAAACTCAGGCTGCAGGGCTGAGCCCCCCAGCGACAGTGAGTGTGACACCCACCTGGGCCCTGGTGCGGTCCTCAGTCCACTTCAGACGGATTCACAGAGTCGTTCTCATCGCTCTGTCTCTCTCGCACTCATGGGGCGTCCCGTATGGGTGCGAGAGAGACCGAGCGAAGAAAACGGCTCTCTGAATCAGTCTGCCGCTGCAGCTGTGAAGGGGTGGCGTTAAAGAGCCGGACCGGACGCACTGACCGCTGGTCCGCTGGTCGATGCAGACCGGACTAACCAACGCGACTCGCACCACCGCGACACCGCGCCGCCACGCCCTGGCCGCCCCTGCCGCCCCTGGCCTCCAAAGCTCGCAGTGGGCCTGGCAGGCAGACAGCCGTCTGAGACGGGATGGCCGGGCCCCCGCCCCGCCAGACCCGGCAGACCCGCCAGCCGCCAGTCCCCAGCAGCAGCAGCGCGCCCGCATCCTCTCGGAGCCCCCTCCCCCACCCCCTCCCCCACCCCCGTCCCCAGGCCCCCTCCTCCAGGCGCAGAGTGCGAGGCGTCGCTTTGAGGGGGCGCTGGAATGGGGGGGGGGGCGTCGAGGGTGCGGATGTTGGCGGTCGGGTGCGGGTAGCGAGGGGGCCGAGGGGGCCGAGGGGGGCGACGGGAGGGGGCCGGATCGATGTATTTGGAGCGCCTAGACCAGGCGAAGCAGGCCCAGGTGTTGTGCTAGTTCCAGCGCAGCCGCGGGGAGCGCGCTGCTCCCCCGCCCCTCCCCATCCCCCTGGCTAGAGTCTCTGGGGTGCGGGGATACGGCCGAGGCAAACTTCCTCCAGCGGGGCGAACTCGCAGCGGGAACGCCCCGAGTCCACGCCTCTCGGCGCAGCGCGTCGCCGCGTGGCGCCATGGCACGCGGCGCCTGGGAATCCCCATGTGGCGCCTCTGTGTCATCCACTTCCTGCAGTGCAGCCCCGCGACCCTCGTCCACCCCGCCCAGCCTAGTGACCCAGTCGGCCTGCTCGACCTAGTCCAGCGAGAGCGCCTGCGGACGGCAGGATGGGCCAGCCCGCCTTGCAGTGGTGCAGCCGGGCTGCAGCGCGCCGCGTCGCAGGCGCTCTCCGGCCAGGTCTGCCTGGTCCCCGGCGATGCTGTAGGAGCTGCACTCTGCAGACGGAACGAGAAGGAAGAGTAGGAAGCGTTTTGACCTTCAGAGTCGCCGAAAAGGCGTGGCGGCGTGGCGGCGTCGCGGCCCCGGGTTCAAACACCCAGGGCGGCGGCCGCACCGGGTCAGTCCGGAGGTTGCGGCCGCGGCCCTGCGGAATCAACAGGGCCTCGGCCATGAAAAATGAAGGGCCTCTTGCTACGCTTGCTACGCTTGCTACGCTTTCCGGGCGGGGCGGGGCGTGCCGGCGGCCTCCGCCTTGCCTTGCCGCCTTGGCGTGCGTGCGGCCGGGCCAGGCCGGGCCAGGCGGTGTCCCGGGGGCATCCACCCCGTCCTCCTCGTTCTCCTCGTCGCGGGGCGCGGAGCACGCGAGGCCCCCGATGACATTCGGCTGTTGGCGCGTGTCCAGAGTGGAGCCCCCGCTTGGCCCCGCCGCGCCCCGCTCGGACCGTCACGGCACGCGCGCAGGCGGGGCAGGTCAGGACTCCGCGGTGGAGTCCGGACTGATTCCGCACGGCGTTTCGTCGCTCTGTCTCTCTCGCGTGCGAACGGGGCGCCCCGTGAGGGCGAGAGGGACGGGCGACGGAAGGGTTCTGCTGGTGGACTCCCGTGGGGAACAGCGGGTCGCCTTAAAGGTCGCAGCTCTGGCAAACCGCGGAGCTTAGCGCACAACTCGCCTCCGGGGTGCAGCGCGGCCTGCGCGGCCTGCACGGCGCGGCGGTGCGAGTGCCGAGTGCGGCCGAGTGCCCCCTCGGGGGTCGATATGCCGCGAGAGCTTACAACCCGAGTACGGCGGGGTCTCGTGCCTGCCTGGGCCCAGCCCCCCTCCGCCCTGCCGGCCCTTAGGCTGCCCCCCAGGCTGCCCCCCCTGGGGAGCGATCAAAAGGTCACCTGTGATTCAGGCGAAGCGAAACAGTATTTTCACCGCGCGAGGGAAAAGTTGGTGACGCACAGCGGATTTGCCCGAAGGTCGGTGGAGGCGGTACAACTCCCGGACGCGTTTTGAGCTGCAGAGTCGCTAAATGGGACTCGAATCGCACGTGTGACCCCACCACTGGATTCCTCTCCTAACGAAGAATCCATTGGTGGAGTCACACGCTCGATTTGACTCTGGAGCTGAAATCGTGTCCGGGAGTTTGACCACCGGCGCCGGTGTCCTGGCAAATCCACTGTGCAACGATGCTACGCGCATGGCCGGCCGGCAGGCGTGCCCGTCAGCCCGTGCAGCCCGTCAGTCGGCGCGGCGAGTTTGGAAAATAAAAGCCCCTCCCCCTTCCCTCTCGGTCTGCATCCGGCCAGGCCGTCGCGCGTCGCGTGCAGCAGTACTCCACTTCGGCGGCCGCCTCATTCCGAAGCGAAGGATCGTGTTTCATCGCTCTGCCTTTCTCGCAGCCATGGGACGAGTGCGACAAAGAGAGAGCGGCGAAACGGGTGCCGGCGAGTGCTCTCTTTGCACTCACTGCGCGGTGCTGCGCGGCCGTGCGGCGCGGGGCAAGGACCTCCCTGACGGCCTCCTCCTTCTCCTTGTTGCAGGCGGCGATAGGCGATGTTCGCGGCGGCGGGCGGCGCGTCGCTCGCAAAGCGCCAGGCCCGGAGGAACGTCCGCAACAAGCAGCACGCCCACACGCACGTCAACGTCGAGCTCCACCCGCACCCGCCCGTGCCGCGCGGCGCGCCCAGCCACCTCCAGGTGCAGCACCTGCAGCCGCGCTTCTCCACCGCGTCCGCGCACCACCTGTACCGCGCGCCCAGCCACCGCCGCCTGTCCTCGTACGCCGACCTCAAGGCCGACCTCAATGGACGCATTGTGGGATTCGGCAGCATTGAGCTCGCCGAGGTGTGACCCTTCTCGGTTTCTCCTTGTTGTTGTTGTTTTTCGTTTTGTTTGTTTGTTGTTGGTGTTGTTGTTGTTGTTTTTATTGCTGTGACTGTAGAAAAACGGCAGGCTGTGCTGTTGGGCCTCGCACAGAGACACTGTGGAAAGAAAGGATTGTTCATGAGAGAGGAAAGTTTTGCAGTGTTTGTTTCTTGTACTTTCGCGGGAGTTTTGTGGATTGTGAGCAAAGCGAACTTGAGAAAGTACAAGGGGAATTCTGCTTCATGAGTGCGCACAGTGAGGCCGGTGAGGCAGTGGGCCTGGGTAGGGAGAAGTAGGGGAGCCCGTAGGGCCCCGGTAGGCCCCCTAGGCCCTTAGGCTCCCCTTCCTTTAGAGCCTTGTCCTTTGATTTGATTTTAAAATCTAGTGGAGGGTCGTAGCCGGCCGTAGCGTAGAGACCTTTGACACCTTTGACAGTGACACCCCGTCGGCCGCACCTTTTAGCGTAGTGCATGGAGTATTCGTGTATTCAAAAAAAACATTAAGGAGTTTCTTTTAGAAAAATTCCTGTCAGAATCAGCCTCTTATTGTGACCTCACTCTGAATCTGTTTTTGTCAAATTTGTTGTAAAATTGAGAGGGCTACACAGGCAGCGTGAACTCCGATACTTTTTGTTCAAACTTATCCGGACCGACGATCACAAATTGTTGTATTTTCTTTAAATAGTGACAGAAATTTTTCTAACGGTGTCATTCCGTTAAGGGGACTATCTGAACTGCAAGCCCTTGAGCACCACGTAGAGTAGTCGTCTCGAGTACATGTAATTTTTCATTGATGTTTTTTTGTCCGGATGAGAGGACCCTTAGCTTGAGTACTTGCGTATTGGTAGCAGTATCGGAGCCATTTTGTGAGCGGGCGCCAGAAGGCCAATTTTCCATTTCTTGTATTACTTCTATCGTTCCCCCCACTGATACTTCCACTGTGATACGCGACGATACCGTGGTATTTTTTTGTATCAAACTGTTTCTCATTTTGCGTTGTTTTCCCATGCAACTTCTCTCTTCTTCTCCTTCTCCTCCTTCTCTGTATCTCTCTCGTCTTTCTCCGTGTCCGCGGCCAGCCCTCGGGCCAGACTGCCGTGAGGGCGGGGCGTAAACGATTGCTGTCTTGTTGTAGTTTTGCAGGTGTTTCTTTGCCAGCGAGCGCGCCGAGCGCGCCGAGCGCGGGCCCCGCCGTGGCGGCAGCTGCTGCTGCAGCGGCCCCAGTCGCAGCCGCTGCCTGCGCTGCCTGCGCTGCCGATGGCTCCGCGGCCGCTGCCCAGGCCGCTGCCAACCTTGCAGCAGCCTAGGCGTAGATGTGTTGAGATGGCGAGGCGAGCCAGGACACGCTGCTGTCGCTGAGCCCGACGTGACGCCGTGACGAGCCGTAGTCAGGCCGGCCGGCCCGCTAGCCAGTGGCGAGACACTGAGCCATGCAGGCGGCCATCTACATCCGGGAGAAGCAGCGACTGCGCAGGAAGAGCAACTTTCGTAGAGGGCGCCTGGAGCTGCCCAGCCATGTGGCGACGAGGGAGATTGCGCCCTTCCCCCAGTACCCCCCGCACAACTGGGTAAGAGTGCCCTCCAACACGCGCCACATTTCGAAAAAATAAAATAAATTGCTCCCTTTTAATTATTTGGGATTTAAAAAGACGGTTTGGCGGGATTTTTTTTTCAAATCCACGCGCCCCGCCTACCCCGCTGGCCTCTTTCCCTCTGCTCCAGCGCAAATACACAGTATCTGAATATTTCCTTGTTGTCTTTTCCTTTTTGTTTTGTTTTTTCTTCTCAATTTTCCCGGAGAGCTTTTGGCCTGCTGGTGTTTGGAGCCTTTGCCTTCCCTGGTATTTTGCAGTGTTTGCTTGTGCCAGGCGCAGCGGGGGCGTGGCGGGGCGGCGGAAGAGGGTGGGGTGGGGTGGGGGTGATGTTTGCTGACACGCGCCGCCGCCCTGCCAGCCCTGCCAGCCCCGCCAGACTGCCTGGCGGCGGCGTTCGCACTGTTCGCGCCGCGCGCTGGACTGACGAAGCTGGCAGGCTCTGGACAGGTTGGCGGCTGGCCGGGCGATGGTGCTCTGGGCTGGGCCCCCTGAGGTGCAAAGAGGGGACGAACTCGGAGCCGCGGGCAGAGCCGAGGGGCCATGGCAACCCAGAAACAAAATGAACCACCTTTCCGGCGACTTTTAGCTAGAACTTTCTCTAATCTAAGAAAAGCACCAGTCTAGTTCTACTCTACTCTTCTCTCTTCTCGAAAGGTCACTCTGTAGACGTAGCCTGGCTCCATCGCCTTCCCTGGGCCCTGGGCCCGGCCGGCCTGGCCCCTAGCCTCTATCTCGCACTCGGTTCCTCCGCTCTCTGATCACTCTCTAGCTCTTTCTATACTTCATCTTGTTTTCGTTTGTCTTTTGTCTTTTTGTGACTGTGAGTGACGGCTTGTTCCCGCAGCTGCTGCGCCGTGAATGTGTTGTTCCTTTTAGTGCCATTTACTGAACAGACCGAACAGATATGAACAGCGTTGCCAGGCGCCACTCAACAACAACAACACTGTCGTCTCGGACGTTCAAAAGTTGAAAAAGCAGAACGCACCTTACTGACATGCTTCCAGGCGCGGTGGGGAGGGTGCATGGACTTGATGGACTTGGGCTTGTCCGGGGACACCCGGTGGACACCCCACTAGGGGGCGCATGCGAGGCCGAGCCAGGCCGAGCCCTGCATGCTGTTTCGGCGTGGCGGCGCGTGACTGTCTGACTGTCTCTCTCTCTGTCTGTCTGCCCGCCTTTCTCTCTCTATCTCCTCCTGCTGTGTTTTAACTCTGTGTCCCTCTGTGTCACTATGCCTGTGTTGTGTGGGCTGGGCTGTTGGCTGGGCTGTTGGCTGGGCTGTTGACTGCTGCCTCGTCGCGTCTAAACGTCTAATCGTCTCGACGCGTCTTGTCTCCTCTGCGGTGTCTACGGTCTGCAATCGTGAGTGTCGTCCCAGTGTCCCCGGGGGCCGTGGGGCCGTCCTCGCACCACGCGGCAGTGTCTCTGTCTCTCTCGCACCCCTCGGGCCGCCAGGCCGGGCCGCCAGACCGCCCCTCGAGTGCGAGAGAGACAGGGCGATCCGCCTGCTGGCCCTCGGCGCCCTCGGCCCGTGCTTCGGGGACGGCCCTCGTCTCAGCTGCACGCGTGCCTCACTCATCACTATTTTCTTCTCCTCCTCCGTCCATCTGTCTGTCTGTCTCTCTCCTTCTTCCATCTCCCCCCGTTTTTCTCCATGTCTCTTCCAGGCGCCTCACCTTCCTTCTCTATCGCACTGAGGGCAGGTAAAACCGCTTCGATGCATGCTGCATGAAAAAAACCTAAAACAAAAACAAAGTGATTTCATTTACCGACTAACAACGTGTTTCCTTTCCTCCCCCTGGTTGGAATTGATCGGTTTCGGAGTGCCGGGTGAGTGTCGAAAGTGCGCTGTGACAGGGCTGTAACGGTAGTCTGCCCGACAGGCCGATCCATCACACACACACACACACACACACCACACACACACACACACACACACACGAGCGCGCACATCAACAACTGATTTAGGCCCCTGTCAAGGTACGCAGCGCTTGCACATCGTACACCAGAACGCAAATGACGAGTCCCACACTGACGTCTCCATTGTTCCGGTGTCCCTCACCTCGGTGTCGAGAGTTAGTTTGCAGGGAGGTAAAGAGAGGCGGCGCCTGGCCACCGCGTGTGCGTTCAAGCGCCCTTCTGTCCACATCGAAAGGCAGCGGCGCTGCGCCCCCACCCACCTTCCCGTTATTACCAATATTTCTCTACCCCCTCGTCCGGCCCGGCCCGGCCCGTCCGACAGCGTGCCGCCCTCTTTCGGCCGCCCCGCGAACCGCCGACCGCCGCCGTTTCGGCCGCCGCGGTCAGCCAGCCGCGCGGTGGCGCCCCCTGTGGCGCGCGGCCGAAGCGCGGCTGGTGAAGGTCACGTGGGGGGTGGGCGTCGGGCGCGACGGGCGCGTCGAGCACCACGACGACGTGCGTCGTGCCGTCGCCGCACTGCAACGCATGCTCCGCAGACTGATTGCGAGGGTCTTTTCCGTCACTCTGTCTCTCTCGCGCCCATACCCCATGAGAGTGCGAGAGGGAAACGACTCTGGGAAATCAGTCTGCTGGCGCACTGCTCCCCCCGCGGGGGGAGCTCGCAGTGTAGTGGGAGTTTGGCGGGGCTGCAGGCGATGCAGATGGCGCAGCGGCACGGGCCGCCGCCTTGCCGTCCGTCTCCTCGCACTGCATGGCAGCGAACGGGGCGCGGGGAGCGGCGCACCGAGACGCCATGCATGACGTCATGGTTTTGACGCGGTTCGTTCCTGTGCCGCCGAACGAACGTCGGCGTGACGGCCAGGGCCGCCGGGGCCGCTAGAGCGTCCTGGCGATGGCAGTGTGGAGCCTTGCAGTGCCGAGGCCGAGGCAACCCAATCAGGCGGAAAACTCAATTACGGGAAAAGGCTAAAAAGGATGAGACCGCCTCGGAGCGAGCAGCGAGGAGCGCGACGGCTTAGTCCTGGACGGGGACGCGGGCAAGCGTCGCAAGCGTCGCGAGCATGCCGGCGAGAAGGTGTGGGAACCAGGCGGGAACTAGGGAACCGTGGCGCAGGGGCGAGGGGGCGCGGGTGGGGGCGAGAAACTCCAGGCGGGGAGGGCGAAAGTCGCTGCTAAGGGCAAGAAGCGCAAGGGGGAGGGAAGGCAGACCAAGGCATAGACAGTCAAGTCATCACTTGAGGGGCTTCGAGTGAGTGAGTGCATAGGTTCGCGTCGGGGCGACCAGGTAGGGGCGGGAGGGGGGGCATCACTCAGCTGTGCTGCCCCTTTGCTGTCAGTCGGCCAGCCCGTCGGCCAGCCCGTCGGCCAGGCAGTCCGCAGTCGATGCTCGATGCCTCGATGGACAGGCCGACAGGCCTACCGGCTGGCCCACTGACACGACGCCCGCGTCGCTCTGAGGAGCGCGGCGGCAGCGGCGGTCACGTCAGTGGAGTCGCTTGACCGCGCCGCGCCGGACAGGCCGGACAGCTCCGCGGCCTCCGCGGGCAAGTCGTTGACGTCGACGTCGTCGGGGGTCGTCGCCGGCCGTGGCGCGGGGAGGGCGGTCTCGGCCTCGGACACCGCCGGATGCCAGGCCTTGTGCCGGGGAGCGTCGGCCCGCTGCGCGCGACCAAGGGGAAAGCCAAGGCAGGGAAGACCGGCAAGGCCGTCGCCAAGAAGGGAGGCAAGTCGTCGTGGCCGCCCGCGAAGACCGTCATCGCGTCCGCCAACAAGGCGCACACCGCGTCCTCAAAGCCGCCCGCTAAACCAGGTGCACCCAAGCCCGGCGGCGCAGGGCCTTCCAAAGCTGCCATCGCCGTGCCAAAGCCGGGAGCCGGTGCAGCCCCCAAGCCCACCGTCGCAGCCCCCAAGCCCGCGGGTGCAGCACCAAAACCCACCGGTGCAACCCCAAAGCCCGCTGTTGCAGCCCCAAAGCCCACCGGTGCAGCCCCGAAGCCCACCGGTGCAGCCCCAAAGCCCACGGTCAAAGCAGCCTCCCATGCCATCGCCGCCGCCCATACGCTCGCCGCGGCCTCCAAGTCCAAGGCGAGCACCGGGGCGCTCCCGAAGAAGCATGGTGTTCTCCCCGCCCTCAGCCGGCCTCCGCGGCCTCCGCAGCACGATGTCGACGGCATCCAAGGCGACCCCGGCTCGGCGTCCGCCAGCGGTAGTACGCCGACGCAGCCTCCCCGACCTGCAGCGCCGCAGGCTGACGCGAAAGCCTCGGCGCCGAGGCCACGACCCGGAGCCGCCGCCGACGTCGACGGCCGAGAGCCCAACGGCACGCCGCCGGCCGCGGGCAAGGCGGCCAAGGTGCCAACGCTCACCTCTCTGGCGCTCGGCCTCTACCAGGGCAAGCTGGAGCGACCCCAGTCCGCCCAGCCTGGCCAGCCACCGCCAGAGGTTCGTACCCGTCCCAGGAAAAGTAGAGGACACGGCGGGGAGGGTACGGCGGGGACGGCCAGGCCCCTGGGGGGACGTCGGCCAGGTCCTGGCCCGGCCGCCCTGGCCAGGCGTATTGACGTGCCATTGATTGGAGTGGCGCGTCAGCAGCGGCAGCCCACGCGATGTTGGCGGGCGTGACCGTGGCCGTCGGCCTGCGTCGGGCCGTCCAAGACCGGGGTCGTCGTCGGGCACCTGCAGGACGAGCCAAACCCCGGGAGTCACCTCCAACTCTTTACCGACAAGACATCAACTTTACACACAATCAACAAAGGCTTTGCCCCTATACCATCAAAAACTTTATAGCAATAACATAAAATATTTCTGATTCCACGCGAAGTAAGTTGAGTTGACCCTCACAGCAAAACAAACCATGGCGCTGCGCAGCACGACCACAACCACAGAACCTTGGCCACGAGCACGGTGTATGTGCGTGTGAATGTTGTGTGTGTGTGTGTGTGTGTGTGTGTGTCAGTGTAAGTGTGTGAGTGTGTGGGTGCGAGAGAGCGAGTGAGTGCGAGTAAACGTCAGTGTACATGATGGTGCGCTAGTGTGCGTGTGAGCGGGAGCGGGTGTGAGTGTGACATGTTTGTTCGTCAGCACTGCAGGGGTGGGTGGCGAGGCGACCGCCCCGACCGCCCGCAGTGGCCAAGAACAAAGCTACCCGGAACAAAACAAAAAGAAAAGTTTTAATCTGGTAATGGAAGTCTGCCCCTCCACGAGGTTCGCCTCGCTCTAGGCCCTAGAACCTCACACAGCCGGCGCGAAGCGACTGCGCGACCTCAAGCGCCGAGTCCAGACTGCCCAGTTATTCTATTTTCTTTTTAACCCTTTTACTCCTTCCCATTGGATCCTGATCACAAAATGGCCTTACAATCTATTTGCCTCTTATTCCTACTTTTGTTCCTCCTTTTGATTCTTTTGCTTGAGCATGTTTAATGACTTGCTTAGTGGGTTTAGTGCACGAGTATTTATGCATGCTAGTACTTATATTTGGTGTGGTTTGGTTTAGAAACACTGCCGATGTCTGCCCGGAATATTCTTTTTTAAAAACAAGGGGCAGGGAAAATAAGCTTTCTGCTCTTCTCCTCTTCTGCCCTTTCCGATCGGCTGGAAACTCCCGACAAAGTGAACGAGCTCCCAAGGGCAGGAGCGGGACGAACTTCCCCACCCCAGCGTGTGGTGTCTGAGCAGTCTGACCTGCCGAGCGATTCGGGAGATCGGTTTGTCGCTCTGTCTCTCTCGCACCCTCAGCAAGAGCCCCATGAGTGCGACAGAGACAGAGCGACGACTTCTGAATGGCCCGGCTGACCCTGACGCTGGCTGACGCGGAAGCTCCAAGTTGTCCCCGTTGTGTCCGTTGGCCGTCTCATTGATGCGCGTAAGATTATCGATCGCACGCCGACGCTGCTGTTTCGGCGGCTTCGGCGGCTTCGGCGGCCGAAACCGATCAGCCAGCTGTCTTGGAAAATTCATGCAACCTTGGTCCATACTTTATACCACGGCTGTTTCCAAAAATGTGTTGAAACGGGAACTGCATTGGCGGACGTCCCACAGGGGGTCAGGAGAGCGGTTGAGGCGGTCGAAATCCCGGACGAGTTTTGGGTTCCAGAGTCGCTAAATAGGACTAGAACCGAACGTGTGACCCCACCAATGGATTGCTCTCCGAACGAGGAATCCATTGGTGGGGTCACACGCTCAGTTCGAGTCCTGTTTAGCGGCTCTGGAGCTCAAAACGCTTCGAGAGTTTTGGCCGTCTGCGCCGGTCTTCTGGCCCACTATGAGTCCGAGTCAAGAAAGGGTGGGGGAGGGTCCTAATTGGTTCGATCCCCATTCGGCACGCCGTTGGCACGCCGTTACTCAATTTGCCCGGATCTGACAGGGAAAGGCGGCATGGCAAGAGCGCGAGAGGGAGCGAGACAGAGAGCGCGACCGGGAGCGGCGGAGCTCGGCCTGCGAGGCGGGCATCAACCACCGCGTCAAGTCCACGGAGGCCCGCCGAAGATGGATGCGCCGGAACCGGGTGAGTTGGCACTCCTGGAGTCCCGAGTCCTTGTCCTGGCACTTGTTCGGCCCCCGCCGCAGAGTGGTTCCGCACGGTCTTCCGTCGCTCTGTCTCTCTCGCACCCTCGCGAGACGCCCCATGAGTGCGAGAGAGACGGAGCGACGTTGCTCGGAATGAGCGTGCACTCGGCTCCCGTGCACGCGTTCACTACGCGAGGTCGAACCGACGAATCGGCGGCCGGCGGCTCTGCGTGTTTGCCGATTCGATATCGGAGCCCACCTTTAGTATTTGGGTCAGGTCCGCTAATATTGGAGGGGACAAAATATCTATTTCAGAGAGAGCGGCTTCAGTGGCGGTGGTCTCCTTGATTGGATGTGGGTTCGGCCGCGAGAAGGGCAGGTTGGCCGGGCAACGCTAGGCAACGCGACACGGCACAGCCGGGCCCGCCGAATCCGAAGGGCCGTTTCGCCGCTCCGTCTCTCTCGCACCAATCCGACTCGCCCCACGAGTGCGAGAGAGACGGAGTGACGACAGCGAGCGGTGCACGCATGCCGGCATCCATTATGGAAGCGTATTGGGTCAGACATCCCCCGGGGCCGGGACGGCCGGGACGCCTCCACCGCCTCCATGCTTCCCATGTCGTTGTACCGGTGTAGTGGTGCGCGGGCCGCGCGCACGCACGCCGTGCCGCACGACAGCGTGTCATCCAGACGAGCTATTCCGGACAGCCTGCCTCTCTCGCACCCCTTATCGGGGATGTCCCGGAGTGCGAGAGAGACACACCCGAGGGCGGTGTTCGGAAGCGAGCTGCAGCCGGTGTCCGGCCGGAGGTTCACGGGGAGGGACTTGATGGCAGGATGGCGGGATGGGAGTCAATAAAAGCGCGTTATCGAGTCCCCACCCCCCTCCTCGTTTCCAGTGCGGTGGCTCGCCGTGCCACGCGCGATGGTCGCATGGCGGTAGCCGCGCACGCCGCGCACCTCGCGGGGAATGACCAGCGAGTAAAGATGTCCGGGGTGATAGGCCGCGCGGTGGTGGCGCGCCACCAATCGTCCGACAGCGGGCCGATTCCGAAGTCTCCCTCGCACTCCGACGGCCCCGACGGGGAGCTTGGTGAGCGCGAGCGAGACGGCGCGCTGCTCGGAGGCAGCCCTCTGGGCCGCCAGGCCGCCAGGTCGGCGGGGATGGCCGCTCTCCGCCAATCAGGGCCGTGGCGGCGGCACGCGGCACGCGGCGTAGTGGGTCAGCGCGGTGGCGGTGACACCGACACATTCGCGGGTTACCAAACGGTGGCGGCATGCGCTGCCTGCGGCGCCGCGCCGCCCGGTGCCGCAAGGCCGTCGGCGCCGTCGCCTACGCGCGGGTCGCCGCCAACGAGGCCAGCGAGGCCACCGAGGTCGGCGGCGCGCACTACCGCCTGGCCCGCGGGCCGTGGCGAAGGCCATGGCGGTGGACTCGCAGCCAGGGTTGCCTACACTGCCTGCACTCACGGCGTGCTGTCGGACAGATCCACGACACGGCGTACGGCGGCTCCAGCTCGGACGAGGACGAGGTGCCGTTCCCCTTCGGCCACGAGAGCGCCGCGGCCAACGCGCTGCTCTACGTGGGGCTGGGCACGGTGGCCGTCGGCATGGTGATCGCCTTCGTGGGCACGGGCGAGAAGGGCTTCAAGACGCTCGAGCTGCGCCTCATCGGACCCACGCTCATCGCCGGCGGCGTCCTCTGCTGCCTGCTCAGGGTCATGCTGTGCGTCTGCCCTTCCAGGTAACCCTTTTCTTTCTGGGTTCCGTCCGGTGCACAGTGGATTTGCCAGAAGACCGGTGGAGGCGGCCAAAACTCTAGACGCGTTCTGAGCTCCACAGTCGCTAAATGGGACTCGAACCGAACGTGACCCCACCAATGGATTGCTCTCCGCACGAAGATTCCATTGATAGGGTCACACGTTCGATTCGAGTCCTGTTTAGCGACTCTGGTTTTGGCCGCCGGCCCCGGTCTTCTTGCTGATGGCTGATGGCTGACTCCCCTCTGTGCTGCTGCAGGTGTTTGTTGAAGCGCTTCCGGCAGCGCAGCCGCCACAAGAAGCAGGTGCTTGCGCTGGAGGCGGCCGGCCGCATCGCCATGGGGCCCATGGGGCGCAACATGCCGCCGCGCCACTCCAGCCACGCCGGCCACGCGCACAAGGGCCAGTCCAGGCCGTCGTCGCGCGCCTCCAGGCCCGGCTCCAGGACGGGCTCCAGGACCTGCTCCAGGACGGGATCCAGGCTGTCCAGGACCCAGTCCGAGCTCATTAGGAGTCCGTCCGACCCCAACGACCCGTCGGTAAGGCTGTGCCTCGGGCAGTGCGCCGAGCGCGCGTGGAACTGACTTTGAAAACCAATATTTTGAGCGCTATTAGATCGTTAGCAGTCTTTATGGTGCAGTGTAAACCCAAAACCTTGGTGTCTGCAGGTGTCCGGAGGGGCCCGCGGCAAGAAGCGCGTGTCCATCGCCAGTGGCTGCGGCCCCTGCGGCCCCGGCGTCGCGGGCGGCTCGGGGGTGGGCGCTGGCGTCCACCGGCCCGGCTCCGGCGTGCCGGCGTCGCAGTCTTCCCAGGTGCTGGCCGCCACGTCCCTGTTCCTGCAGAACGAGCAGCAGGCCTCGCGGTCGGGCTCGGGCCGCGCCGGCCTGGGCTTCACGGTGCCCTCCATCAACCTGCCGTCGTTGCCGTCGCTCGTGCGCGGCCGCTCCGAGGACCTCGGCGAGGGCTACGTCGCCAGCAGCGTCCGCCGGCTAAGCCAGGTGGGGTGCCCGACGACCGCGTCAACCTGGTGCGTGCAGTGGGAGTCCATCAGGGTCTAATGGCTGTCTGCTTTGCGTTTCAGTCCTCGAAGCGGCTGGGTTCGACAGGGGATCTGCCGCTGCTGTCCGCGGTGGACATCGACGGCGACCTGGACGACCTCGACGGCGCCTACTCCTACAACTCGGGCTTCAGTCCCGACGACGCCCAGCCGGGCCCTAGTTACGCGGCGCCAAGGTGACACAGCGGCACCCTTTTTTCGGCTAATGGATGCGTGGGGTTTGGTTTTTTGTTGTGTGCGGGTCGACGCTAATGTCCTTTCCGTTTCGTTTCGTTCCAGCACGTCGCACGTGCACGTGCACGCCCCCCACTCCATAATCGTCACCTCCCCCACGCCGTCCTCCTCGCCGCGCCCGCCCCGGCCCAGCACCGCCCGCCCCGCCCCCGCCTCCGCCCCCGCCTCCGGCCACGGCCCCGGCCACGCCAGGGAGATCATCCTGAGTCCGGGCGGCCTAGGGCTGCAGTGACCCGGGCCGGCCACGCCAGTCCCGCTGCCGCTGGGCGCAGTGCCGCGGCCGGGCGGGCCAGGGCACGGTGCGCGGCAACGCCAGGCTTCAAGACTTTAGCTCTGCATAACGACCTACATTTATAACAATATGAACGTATTCCATTTTATTTTTATTACTACTATTCCATCGTCTTTCGTTGTTCCCTTTTGGCCTCTTTTCATTCACGACCACTTTCATTTCAAGTACATCATAATAATATGATAATAATAAGTAATATGGATAAAAATGATAATAATAATGATAATCTTTGTGAATTCCATCATCATCATCACAATTTCCTACTTGTAACATATGAATATTACAAAACGAAAAGCAGGTTTAGTTTTATAAATAAAAGAGATAATTATTTAAAAGATTTTTTATTTTTCTTCAAAATACTTCATACATGCTTAGCCTAGGATACAACCACAAGAACCAACAACACCTTTGAACTACTCTCAGCAAAAATTTTAACATGTTTTAGGTTACAAAATTACATTTTATTAAGTTCGCCTCACCGAGACTGCACAATATTTGAAAAAAAAGGAATGAGTATCATACCCTCACACATATTAATTTCATAAGAAACATTACATGGTAATGTTGACAAAAAAGTAAACAATATCACACACCTCGAGACGATAAGGAAACACAAGAAAGAACTACACCACAATGGTAACTTTTTACCAGACTGCAATAGGGTTACAAAATATCACAGCTTGACTGTCATGTCCTCACGCCCACTTAGTGGAAAACACGAACACTTCACAGCAACTGTTAATAGTTAAGCAACTCTTTAAACATTCTGGTAACATGCATAAGGCCTTCCTGTGCACACCACTGTTTTGTGGCAGTAAGTTAAGTCACAAGGAGACATTGTACACCATAAAACATGTAGTTCGAAGGTTATCTAAACAGCTAAAAAGAAGATATGAATAGATAGAAATAGTGTTTCAAAAACTTGGAAAATTAATTGCCTTTGATTTCCTCTTTTTTAATAAAAAGGGGAAAAAAAGAAGGATTTCAAAGGATTTCAAACAGCAGTTCTCACCACAAAACATTTTGTAAAGGCTTGAAGAGATTCTTGTAGCAACAGCCAGGTAAGGAGACATACATGGCATGCCTACTCTCAGAATATATAGCACACTTAAATGCAAAAATAAGAAAGAAAATACATGAATTTTTTTCCAGAAACTACACTAAAATTACATAGAACAAAGATACACTGACAGAATAAATATCACAGTGTTGGAAGAAACACAATCACACATACAAATAAACAGATTGTGGGTGTTACGCTGAATCAACAAAGAAAACATCAAAATATGCTTTTCTTGGTCAATTTGAAAGATTGTTTGGTGAAGGAATGAAAACACTCCACAGCATTTATGAATAGGAGGGAAGGAAGGAAGGTAGGATTCAAACAGGGCATGAATGCAGCACTTCCAGCTTAATGCTAAACCAAGAAAACTTTTGAAATGATTCACACAATCACTTTGCATCATTGATGATAAAACAAGGACACAGAAAAACCAAAAGAACAAAGAAGGCGTACAAAAACTATCTACAGTATAAATATACAATGTTCTATAAAAATAACTAGACTTTTGTACAAGAATACTGCCGGGTTACTAGGAATATCTTAAAGTCAATATTATTATTGAATTCGCTAAGATCAAATATGGTACTTTTGAAATGAGTCAAGAAAATTCTACAACATAGATTTTTTTTCTTCAAATTTTTTGATTAGGAGCGTCACAACACATGAATTTTGGGTGATACATAAAACGGAATCATGTGTAGTGCAATGATAGGCTGCTTCTCATGTTACGCCTTCATAAAAGCACAGAAACCCCCATTATTTTTACATTAAAATAAATTTCATAGTGTCAAAAGCTGCACATTACAATTTCAATAAAAGACAAATTTTTGATTTTACAGCTTTCAAATTCATCATTCATATCTTCTGAGTTCACTGTAAGAACTGCCAAGGCATTAAACATTTCTCCTTGGTAATTAATACAGTAAATTTGAGGAAGTGAAAACGTTGCAGCTGGAATACAAATGTTTGCTACAACTGTAAGGCTGCACCACACAATAGGTGATTCTAATGAGACTTAAATGAGATCTGACATCAGAACACACCCCACTAAATCCAGAATTTTCATTTTAAAAGTCATCACTCACAAGTTGCTGGAAAAAGTCAAATCAAGAATTCAGCTGCCTTCACAACAAACAGCAGACAAATAAAAGAAACATAATTTTTGTCAAAGATACCACACCTTCAATATAGGGCAAGATTAACTTTGTACTTCACATTCCTTTTAATCTTTCATGCTTATTGTTTAATTTGGTTTGATTCTTGATAATAGGAAAGGCTTTATCACATTCCTTTTACACTGACTAAGGACAATCCATAGGATGTTAATCAGTGGTAAAGCTCTAAATCTTGACTCGAACTTACAAACCGAACTAACAAAAGTACACAAAACCTTACCATTCCAATAAAAGTAACACCTCATTTGAATTTTCACAGATAACATAAATTAAACTGCTTTGTAAAAATGTAACATTGTTAAATTTTCAGATTATGAATAATACAACAAATTTTATTGCTGAATACAATGCTAATACAACTCAAAACTACTTGCTGCAATAATGTGTATTGAATTGTAGAATTTGGCATGGGAAAAAGTATATTGCAAGCGGACCTAAGGTGTTTAAGCTCAATGAAAACAGAAATATCTTACATCCACTATCAGGAAACATCCCAATAAATCATAATCCGATCCTTAATGCAGAATCCATCATAGTAGCACCATACACTAGGCACTCGTCAAAAAAAAAATATCAGGATACAAATCACTTTGTTGGATAAAGAAAAACTCATATTGTCAAGTTGTGGAATCTGGTTCACACAAACAAGAAGTCGCTTTACTTCGGTAAACACCGAATCGAGCACACACGCACAAGCGCACGCACACTAGACAAAAACAAAGCCATGTAGTCCATCATGCAGCATGAACGACACGTTGGCGCGGTGGTACTCGAGGGCATCCATCGTCTTGACGCGGTCAAAGGGAAAGGGGCTTGGGCTAGAAAAGCGGGGAGACTACGAGCCAAGCAGTATCACGGGGGAAAAGAGATCCGAGTTGAAAACAGCCCTGCGGGATTCGCTGGGCTCTGGCCTGCGCGTGCGCGTGAGCGTGCGCGGGGACGTCATAGAGAGCCGGTCTCTCCGGGACGAGGGCGAGGGCGCCTTAGTCCTCGGAGAGGATCTCCATGAGGATGCGGCGCAGGCTGTCCAGGCCGGTGAGGAAGCCGCAGTCGGGGCCGTGGTGCACCGTACCTGAGGGCGTGGAGGACGTCGTCGACGGCGACGCGGAGGACGAGGTGGCCGCCGCCAGGGTGGTGTGGGCGAAGTCGATCATGCGGACGTCGACGCGGATGGCGGGCGCCAGGTCGTCCTCGCCGTCACCCTGGGCGGCGTGGGGCGAGGGCGGCGAGATCCTGTTGAGCCTCTTGGCCTTGGCCTCCTGGCTGTGGCCGCCGTGGCTGCCGTGGCCCATGGCGGCAGTGTGCCCGCCGAGCGGCGTGGGGCGTCGCGGACGCAGCCGCTTGTTGGCGATGGAGGCCAGCGACCGGTCGGTGGCGGAAGGCGACAGCTCCTCGTCCTCGTCGTCCTCCTCGTCTTCCTCCTCCGTGCCCTGGCCGCCGTCCTGGTCGTAGCGCAGCTGCTGGCGCACCCGCTTGGCGCCCATCTGCGGCTTCATCTGCAGCTCCAGGTCGGAGGACAGCTCCTCCGAGCTGTGCGGCGGCGACGAGCAGAAGTCGCCGAACTGGCCGACCCCGCTGCTGTACAGCATCCAGGGGCTGGGCATCGAGTCGGGCATGTCTGCGGGACAGGCAGGACGAGATGGTCAAGGCCGAGGTTCAGAACCAGCTCCAACATAAAAAGCCCTTGCGGAGCCTTGGCCAAGTAACTGGTACTCACCCCGCGGCTGAGATGACGGCGGAGTGTCGAGGAACATGGTGTCCTCGGAGATCGGGAAGAAAGACGACGACGAGGACGAGTTCTTGGCGCCGCGCGCGGCCGCCTCGCCGAAGCCACGCTGGTGCGAGTCCTGGCTCACGTCGTCGTCCAGCTCCGAGTGGCCGTCCCCGTCGCCCAGCTCGTGCCTCGGCGACATCAAGAAGTCCATGGACGAGTTGCTGGCGTCCGCGTCATAGCAGCAGCCCGCACTGCGGCTGTTGTCCGACGAGTCTTGTGTGCCTGGAACAAATTACCGCATCCGTCAGCTTCCCTTCCAGGAGGACGCGACGCGGCCGCGGCCGCCCTGACGTCATCGCCAGACCGCGCGGCCCAAAACACGCACGCAGCGATCGTTAACAAGGGGAAGGAAAAACACTCACTCTCGTCATTGATTAAAAAGTCCTGCGAGCAGCGTCGCTGGTTGTCCGTCGACGCCGACGGCACAGAGTGTACCGAGTGTCTCCGCGGCGTCATGTGGTCCCACTCGCAGCCCTCGTACACCATGAGCAGGGAGCTGCGGGGAAGAGACACACAAAAGTCAGCGATGTAGTCGCGTAGCTTTCGCCGAATCACAAGCCGTTCGAGCTGCGGACTGCGGGCGATGCGCATGGCGTACTCACCACGAGTAGAAGCGGTAGCTGCACTGCCGCTCGATGGCCCTGCGCAGGGACTCGAGGCGGCCCAGGATGCGGCGGATCACCTGCGTGCGCAGCTGGTAGCCGTTGTGGAAGAAGCGGTACATGGCGGCCTTGAGGCCCTCCTCGCTCAGCTCGCGGCCCCAGTACTTGTCGCGCTTCACGTAGTTGTCCGTGTCGGCCTGGTACACCTGCATGCCGCAGAGGCGCACGCCCAGCGACGCCGACGTGCTGGCGGCGCACTTGGCCATCTGCTTGCTGCGCTTCTCGGCCGACGCGTCGTCGCCGTGCTGCCGCGTGCCCATCTTGAGGTCCAGGATGCACGGCTGGCGGTAGCGCGACGTGATGTTCTCCAGCAGGAGGAAGAGCTGCGAGCCGTTGGAGGACGACGCCGAGGCCGCGCCCTCGCGCTGCACCTTCATGCGCAGCACGCCCGCGGTGCCCGCGGTCGACGAGGAGCCGCCGCCCTGGCCGGCCGCCGCCCCCGAGGTGGAGCCCGAGCCGCCCACCTCGCGCTTGCGCTTGGCGGCGCGCGGCTCGTCGCGGAAGCTGGGGCTGTAGCGCTTGTCCAGCGTCACGGCGCCCGAGTGCGTCGCCTGCATCACGCCTGGAACAGACAACGCGTCGCGCGGGGCGGAGAGGTTAGCGACCAAGCACGCCGATGAGGCACGGCCCGCTACCTCGTCAGGCAGGCAGGCAGGCAGGCGCGCTGTGGACTGATTCCCAGAGTCATTTTCGTCGCTCTGTCTCTGTCCCAGGTCGCTGGAATGCGGAACAGAAAGGCCCGGTCAGCACGAGGCATCGCGAGGCGGCAGTCATTTACTACTTTGGGTCCATCCCGAAGAGCAGTGCACAGTCGCTTTGTCTCTCTCGCACCTCCACGCAACGCCCCGTGCGCGCGAGAGAGCCAGGACGACGAAACAAACTCCCGTTCGGCATCAGCCTGGTGGCGGCGCCCGAATTTGCACCGCCAGGCGCCTGGGCCGCGAGCAAACTCCCCCCCCTCCCCAGTGCTGCCGCCTGCCGCCTTGTCATCATTTGCAGTACAGCCTTGCCGTCGGCTTGGTAAGCAATCTCGGCCGGGCGGCCTAGACGCGCCCAGCAAACCCGCTGCTGACGGCGCCGGCGTCGTCGGCCCAGTCCAAGCGCCAACAGCTGATCCCAGCCCAGAGCACGTGCACAGTGGCCCGTGCAGCACACCCGTGCGGGGGGGGGGGGGGGGGGGGAATCGTCAATCGCACGCGACGGGACGCTCGCGAACGCCCAAGCCAGAGGCCAGCCCCGGTAGAGCACTCGTTATAAGGGGCGCCATCCGTGGTGACGAAACGAGGCTACTAGAGTGACGCCGTCAGTCCTGGGTGACCTCATCCGGCGCGGCGTGCACCGCGGGCGCGGCCCTCTATCAAGGGCCTGTCGGCCGGGAACGCCCCAACGCCCCGCCCGCCGTCAATCGATGCCCTACAAACGACGACAAAGGGGACACGCATGCCGTCGGCACGCCCCGCCCCGCCCCGCCACGCCCCGGTCGGCTGGAGTGCGCTGTGCTGTGCTGCGCTGCCGCGGCGCGTGGCAACAGGCGCCGCGAAACGGATGCACTTGGCGACGACCCGCCTTGAGCAACGCGACCTCCGCGTCGTCGTCGTCGTCGGCCCGCGGCAGTGGCGATAAGGGCGGCGTACGGGCCGTCACCGCCACCGCAACAAGGACAATGCTATCAGGCACAGCACACCGCACCGCGCGGCCAGCACAACAAGTACTCGGCCGTCACGTCACCCACATTTGTTTTCCGCCACCGATAATACTGGTGTACCGTACAGTCCCCTGGCCGGGCCGATCCGACCCGGCAGGGCTCGGCGACGACGGCCGTCCCCGAGAGCAGCGCGAACGCCAACGAAACGCACCGACGGCGGCGAGCTGACGGCGAGCCTGTCGCAAGTGGCGGCAGGAAAGGCCGCCCCGCCCCGTCCAGTCATTACCGAGGCAATTATTGCACAAGGAACGGCCGGGACTAGCGTTGCTAACGCCGCCAGCGGCGCCAGCGAGGATGGCGGAGGAATGCCGCGCAGCATCGCTCTGTCTCTCTCGCACCCACACGGAACGCCCTTTGACTGCGAGAGAGAGAAGGAGAAACTGTTCGGAATGACTAAAGGACAGGCCAGGCCAGGCCGCTGGCGGGCGCAAGGCTTTACAACGCACCGACTGTACGACAGGCGCGGCGCGCGAGGCGGCCGAATCGTCTATCGGCGGGGCACGGCACGCCGCGGCACGGCCGGCCGAGGGAATCCACGGCACATGAGTCACCGCCGCCGAGTCGCGAGTCGCGGCCTCAAACCCTCTGCATCTGGCATGGCCTGGTGTGCCGGGGGCGGCGGTGCGGTCGGGCCGTCCTGGTGTCCTGATCGCAGGCTAGGGCCCCAGCTGGCCCGGCAGATTTAACGATGTGCAAGGTGTGTGCATTTCAGAGCCCCCCACCCTCTTCCCCCCTCCCTTTCACTGTGACTAAAGGCCGCAGGCAGTAAAGCCTCGGTCGTTTCCAACCAACAGGGTTAATGCGCCCACTACGCCGCCGCCTGGCTCGCTCGCACACACGCGGCCAGCCGACGGCAAGCCAACGGCCAGCCTTGCCAACTGGGGTGCCCCGCTCCTCCCCACCCCCTTTTACAGCCACTCGACGTGACGGTCCGACACCCGCACCCCGCACCTGCCACTTCTGGCAGGTCCACATTTGGCCGAGCGCACCCCGCGACGCCCCGCGACGCCCCGCCGCGCCACGCCGCGCCACGCCACGCCACGCTGGCAGATGCAGCCCGACTGATACACAAACAAACGACTTCCCTGAAGCCGCGCCGATCCGCGCTGAGCCGCGCTTGTCCGCCTTTGTCTGGGCCGCCCTCCCCCTCCCCTCCCCGTCCCGCTCCTCTTCCGCGTTGCAAATCAACTCTCTCGGCCCCGCGGCTAGAGGCCACAGCACGCGGCACGCGCCACCGACGCATCGGCGGCAGGCTGATTCTGAACAGAGCCTCTCTCTCTCGCACGCCGACGAGGCGCACCGTGAGAGACAGAGCGACAGCAACAAGAGCCGCGCGACAGTTCAGGGCAAGGACGCGACACGGCCACCATTTCACATGCAATTGCAAGGCGCGGCACTGCAAGGCACGCGGCGGCACGCCACTGCAAGGCACGGCACGGCGCCGAGATGAACGCCCGGGGCTCCTCGTACAGTAGCGCGGCAGCGGCGCCGTATCGCCTCGTTGTACAGTCGGCCTCGCATCTCCATCGACATGGCCCGCAAAAAAATCCTTCCAAATCAATTGCACCCGAAAAACAGGCGGAACACACTCGAGCGCGACACCAGGTGCACATGCACTCGCGAGAAAAACCGACCGGCTAATCGCTGATCGTTCCTCCTGCTCGTGGCCACCGCACTGCAGGCTAAACAGTGCTCTCGCCAGGCGTCGGTTGCGAGAGAGACAGAGCGCCGCAGCGCCCTTCCCTTCATCTTCATCCCCGCGGTCTTGACCCATAAAAACACGGACACGGGCTGCACTGGGCTGGGGCGCTGGGGGCGTTGCTCCCAGTGACGCGACGACGCGACGCCCGGCCGGACCTTGGCCGCACCCTCGCTGCACCGCGGCAGGCCGCCACCGACATCAACCAGGGCGTCCTCGCGCCCGGCAGGCAGGCACTGGCAAACGCCGCCGCCAGCGCGCCAACGGGGCCAGCAGGCTTACCTTTGTACTTGGGGACGAACGTCTTGATGTCGAGGGGGATGTTCTGGTAGAAGTTGAGCTCCCGCGAGTTGAGCGGCTTGCAGATGGTGGACTGGTTCAGCAGCAACAGGCGCGTGTGTCCGCCGACCTGCGCACATTGGAGGAGTAGGGCGTCAGCGACACGTCACCAGGCCCGCGGGGGAGGGTAGAGGATTGTAAACACGATGACGTCACTCGCGCGCCACTAGGACGGACGCGCCTCCGCGGTCCCATCGGCGAAAAAAAAAAAAAGAGAGAGACAGTCGCGCTTTACCGCTTTCGTCACACGGATGGACGGACGCGGCCGTCGCGGCACGATTCGAATCTCCCCGCGAGGGCAAAAACGGAGACGGCAAAACAGAAAAACAAAGTTCGCGGCGGAGAGAATGTCCACGCGGCACTCCCCCATTCAGAGCAAAACGCTGTTGCTTCAGACGGGACGGAGAGGAGACATGCGCAATGGTCAGCAAAGCGGGGAAAACCAGCTATCAAGACTTAAAAAAAATAAAAAAATTGAAAAGCACTTTGGCGGAGGGAGAGAACATGCAAGGTGGAACCAGCGAAATGATAGCGAAGTGAGCCTCAGAACGAACCCAAATCCCAGGACACCGTTCACGCTGAAACTCGCGTGATGTCTCGCGTTCTCACAAAGTAGGGGAAAAGAGGAAAAAAAGATAGAAAAAAAGCAACACGCGCTCGAGTCAGAAAAGGGGTGAACGAGATGGTGGAGAGGTGAGTAGTTAAAAAAAAAAAAAACAATACTTACCTGGGCAGGCACGGGGCGGCGCGGTTGGGACAGACCGAACTACTTTGCCCTCTAGGCTTATCCGATTCCCCTTGTCCGGCCATGTCCCGACCACAACATCTGGAATGTCACATAAACGTGAGTGGGGCCCCCCCTTCCCCACCCCCGGCGCCCCCCCTAGCCGGGGCTCCCCGCGGGGCTAGTAGCCCGGGGACCGCACAGCGGGGGAGGCTGACCCGGGACAACCCAGCCCCTAACAAGCGGTTCATGTTCATGGCAAGGCACAGCAATGAAATAAGGCAAAAAAAAATTGAAAAAAGCAATTGGTTCCTTAGCAACTTAAATCAAAATCGGAGTCAAAATACACAAAAAAGGGTAAAATGCGTTCAAAAACCAAAATTAAGCTCAATGAACGTGCTTATACACTAAAGGGGATGGGGTGGGAGATCGCTGCGGTAGCAGAGCGCAAGGAACGCTGCCGTGTTCATGTCCACCTTCGGCCCCTGCGGCCCCGAGCCGCGACGACGGGAGTAAATTTAAACGACGTTCGGAGATGACCGTCGGCGCCGGGCCTTCACATTCACATTCCCACGACCCGATGCCAAGCAATGCCGAGGCATCATCAGTGTTATTACAAGCCGCCATAAGCCAGCCGGCAGGGAGGGAAAGCCTTACATAAGTGCAGGCCCCGCGGGCCTCACGCCACGGCAGCCGAGGGAGAAAGAAGCCCCACGCGCCACAGTGGGCCAGAAGACGGCACTCCGGAGTTCAAAATCCGTCCGGGATTTCCCCGGAGGGCAGAGGCAAAGACCGACCGCGAAAAAATAGATTGCCGCGATCAACAGCGCCGCCGCGACGCCAGAGGTACGGCACGGCACGGCACGCCAAGCCATTCGCAGCGCGTCACCCCGGTCAGCCCGGGCGCCGCCCCCGCGCACCTGGCCGTCCTGGCCGCCGGGCCGCGGACCGCGACAAGGAAAAGGCGCCAAACAGCGCGTAAAAATACCATACCGCCCTCGACGCGTAAACAAATGTGACAAAACAGATTCGAGCGCGCGACAAACACGGCGACGCGGGGCGGCGCGGGGCGGCCGGGACCTGTTTCCGACAGGTGCGCCACGGGCCACCGGACTTCGGCACAGCGGCAGAGCCGGCCCTGGCAGGGCTCAGCAGGCCCACGGCCTGGCCCACGGCACCAGAGTGTTGACGAACCTTCTCGACGGCGTCAACGCGCCGCGCGCCGACCGGGGCGCCAAAGATAGATAGCCGTCGGGCAGGGCTCCGCCAGGGCTCCGCGACACAGCGCGACAGCCGGCACGGCACACGCCGCCGTGGCGGTGCACCGCACTGTGCACAACGAGGCCATCAGCCTGCAGGCGCCTTCAGGCTGCCTTCGGGCCGCGCGAGTTAAAACGGGGCGATGCGACAAGACAAGGCGAGGCGGCGGACAGTCCCGGCGCGCTGCTCGCGCTGCTACCGCGGCGAGGGGGTGCTTGGGGTGCGGGGCGGCAGGGCGGGGTGCAGTACCTGGTTGTGGAGGGGGTGCAGCGCCACCTCCGAGTTGTCCTCGATGTGCAGCAGGTCCAGCTGCAGCGGCAGGCTGCTGCTGCCGCCCGTCGGGCTGCTGGGGCTGCTGGGGCTGCTGTCCGGGTTGTTGTTCTGCTGGCGGTCCTGCGCGACATCCTGCTGCTGCTGAGGCTGCTGCTGCTCCTGGTGGTCGCCATACTTGCTGACGCGCTCAGTGCTATCGCCCATGCCCCAGCCCGACACCAAGTACACCATTCCCGCACAGCCGGAGAGGGGAGGGGAGCACCACCTTGCCGTTGGACGCCAATCCTGCAAGCAGAGAGCACAGCACGTCGTACAAAGGGCGGTGCCACTCCTGGAGCTGGAGTGTGGTCGGGCCGCCGCACAGTGGGCGAGACCGGTGGAGGCGGCCAAACTCAAGACGCATATTGCACTCCAGATGGAGCTCAAAAGGCGTCTGGAATTCAGGCCGCCCCCCATCAACCTCACTAAGTAACAGTGAGAGGCTCATGCTTGACAGAGCCGTTCGTTGAGCGTCCAACCTTAAACCTTAAACCATTGCCGACAGCCGGGCCGGAGCGCCGTGCGGGCAGGCACCTCGCCGGCGTGCGAGCGCGGCGGGCCTGCCTACCCGCACGGCGCTTGCGATGCTTTCCGCCCCGCTCCTTGCTTGCCGACAGCGGAAGGAACTAGGCAAAGACACCGGAAGCGGGCCGAAGGACGAAGGACTCACCGCGAGCCGCGTCGTCCGGCGCCTTCTCTGTCACCGCCGCTACCGCCGCGACTGCTGCTTCTGCGAGTGCCCTGGGGTCGCTGTCCAGCTCCGTCGCTCTCATAGAAAAGTCGGGATGCGGCGAGAGGGTCCGACAGGGTCAGGGTTGCAGTCCCGGTGGCGGCGCAGCGCTGCTACATTCACACCTGCGGCACAGAGACACATGGCGACACGTCAGCCCTCCGCTACACTTGCGTAAGTACCCGGCTACTATTTTCGCAGCCTTTCTTTCAAATTTAGCGACGGAAATGAGACGCGCATGCCAGCGGCGGGGCGTGGCAACACACAGCGCCGCCAGCCGGCCACGCGGCGCGTGCCTGCCAAGAATTTCATACAAGACGAGGGAATCTGTGCACGCCCCCTCCCCGCCGGCCCAGCCCGGCCCGCCGAACTGTTTGGGCATCAGTCCGAAAGCCCCGACGCTTGCCAGATTCCACCAAGGCAGCAAGGCGCGGCAGGGGGAGGCGGGAGGCCCCAACCTTGAACGCGTATCGGACGATGGATGCTGCCGATGGGGGTGGGGCGCGGCGGGGCGGGGGCGGGCGCAGGGGCCCCACCGGGTGGGCTGCAGTCAATGGGACTGCGAATAGACACACCTACTGGCGCCATGGCGCGCAGCGCGCCCCCCAGAGATGCCTCCGCCCCGCGCCCCGCTCGGCGCCACTGGCTCCCTGTTTTCATTCATGGGGGGGCGACTCTAGGGCGGAGGAGGGGGGGGGAGAGGCTCCACTAAATAAGGCAAGTCACTCGCCCCTCGGCCCCCGCGAGGGTGGCCCCCAACAAAGAGCTGGACGTACCGCCGCCGCACGCGAGACCCACTTTTAAAACGGCTGTGCAAAAGGAATCGGCAACGAGGGAGACGACGGCGGGACTCGAACCCCATCCCCCCGACGGCCCACGCGCGACCCGCCGCCCGCCCGGCAAGCAGAGCAGCAGGCGGGGCGATCGATACGCGCGGACACGACAAGGCGGACCAGGCGGACCAAGGTGGGGCGGCCGCCCGAACTGCGCCACTTCCTAGGGCCACTGTCCCCTCCACCACCAGGACGGCCACCAAGACGGCCTCCAAGACGGCCACCAAGACGGCCACCAAGACGGCCACCAAGACGGCCACCAGGACGGCCACCAAGACGGCCACCAAGACGGCCACCAAGACGGCCACCAAGACGGCCACCAAGACGGCCACCAAGACGGCCACAAAGACGGCCACCAGCACCTGCGTGTCCTCACAACAAGGAACCGAAATAAGTGACAACCAGGAGGCGGCGGGTGCGCGGGGCTGCTCGCCGCGACTCATCGTCAACAAGCAGCACACGGCGATCGAACGGCCTTGAGGGCCACCAAGCCCCCCTCGTCCTGGGGGACTCGGTCGAGGGGAACACGAAAACGCGATGGGGTCCTGGCAGCGCACGTCACGGCCCGGTCGGTCGGCCTGTCGGCACGGCAGCGATATCCTGGGCGATAGGGCCTCGATAAGCACGGCGCTGTTGCCTACCGCCAGGGCGGCGCTGCGTTCCGGCCAAACGACGTCACGGCCGCTAAGCCAGGGCGCTTAGCTCCCCTTAGCTCGCCTGGTGACGAAGTGCGTTGGTCAAGACACGCGGCGCCCTTCCTTGACGCCGCCGTTATCTTGAGGACCATCAACGCCGCGCTCAAAGTGCCACAGTGCCCCAAGGCCGCACACTGATTCCGAGGGTCGTTGTCGCTCTGTCACTCTCACACTCGTGGGGCGTCCCATGTAGGCGCGAGAGAGACAGAGCGACGAAAACGACTCTCGGAATCAGTCTGCCTGGTCGCGCGTGGTCGTGAACCCCATCCCGCTCGCGGCTCACCTAAACAGTCGTCCTTATCGGCTGCGGAACGTTCAACGGCCGCGCTGACATGACGCGAGTGGCGCGAGCGCGCAACGCAAACACGCCCGAGTGACATCGAGACATCGAAATAACGCCAGCGCCGCCAGCAAAAACAAAAACAAAACGCGAACGCGACCACGCCACCAAAACAAGCAGAGCCGAGTAAAACGCGAGAAACGGACGGACGGACGGCGACGCGGTCGGCAATCTGCATCCAGGTGCGTCTCGCTACGCCCTCCCCCTCCCCCTCCCCCTGCCCCGCTCCCAAAACAAAACGAGCGCGCCAACTTCCTGATTGCGGATTGCAGCCAAGTCGAGCGAGGCAGCGGGGCTCGGGCCGAGGCTAGGCCTTGCCCGGGTCGCGGGTGCAGCGCCCCGTGCGGCGGCGCCTCCTCCCGCCCCTCCACCTCTCTCTCTCCCTCTCTCACGTGGCCTGCCGGGCCACGCGACACACAGAGGCGCACCGGGGCGCACTAAGCCCTTCGCGCCCCGGGCCCAGCGGGGCCCAGCGGGGCCCAGCGGGGGCGGCGAGGCCGTTACACTGAACTGCCGGGGATTAAGTCGGGGCTCAACGGCGGGCAAATTGGATGCAGTGCCCTCGTCGTCTTCGTCTCTCTCGCTCTCATGGAGCGTCCCTTGGGGGTGCGGGAGAGACAGAGCGACGGAGCGCTGTTCGGGATCCAACTACAGTGCACGCGCCTGGCGGTGACGGGTGTGTACGGGCCGAGGCGGTGGCGGTGCGGAACCACCACCAGAGGCGTGCTCATTGTTCGATAATGGTGTTGCTGTGCTCCTGGTCGTTTTGGTTGCGACACGCGCTGCGGCCTGGGGCAAGGCCTGGGGCCACACATCGGCCACTGTTCCGCTCCATACACACCGATCCCCCCGCGCAGGCCAACGCGCCAGGCGCCGATCGGACGGATACAACACAGGACGTCGCCATGCAGCGAGGCCGGCCCGGCCGTCGGCGTGCCGTCGGCGTCTAGCATTCGCCTGGTCCTGCTGCCCTGTTCTCGCGGGTCCGCGAAGTGCCGGGTATATTTAGCACCCGGACGCCAGAGAGGCACGCGCGGCGTGGACGCGTGGACGGCACGCCGGCACGCCGAGCTTGCTGCAAAAGCCAACGGCACCCCGCACAGCATCGGCCCAGCCCGCCTCTGCGCAGAGACCCAAGGGGTGGGGCGGGGCGCCAAGTTGACATCCTCCCTGACCTGCCCCCGGGCCGGCGCAGCCCTCCCTCGGCGTGACCTCAAAATGCCACCGTCATCCTTCCGAGACCGCGCGGGGCCGCCGCGTCGTCAGCAAGGGATGCAAACAGGGCGAAGGGTCGTCGTATCGCCGCGCAATCTTTCTCTCTCGCGGCGTCGTTCGGCTGCACACAGTGCCCCCCACTGCCTCGCACACAAGTACCGGCGGGCCGGCGGCAACGACTTTCCCACAAAATCGGAGCGGGTCCGGAGTCCGGAGCGGGCGGGGCCCGCGGCACACCGGCCTGCAGACCGATTCCGAGAGTCGTTTTCGTCGCTCTGTCGCTCGCGCACCGACACGGGACGCCCATGTGTGCGAGAGAGACAGAGCGACGAAAACGACTCTCGGAATGAGTGCACCTCAGGCCTACACCGCGCCGCAGACGGCCGGACATCCCGTGCGCCACGTGCCACATAATCCACGTGCCGCCGGCCAGCCAATCCCATCGACCGCAAAATCCATCATCGCATTCGTCTTGGCACGGAAATCGCATCAAAGAAAAAGACCGACGGCGGATGATGGCGTGAGTACGGTGCGGCGCGACTGTGTGTGTGTGAGTGTGCATGTGAGTGTGTGTGTGAGGTTCAAAAGAAGTCGCAGAGGCCATCCACTCATCGGTCGGGGGGGGGGGGGACGTCGGCCACGTCCGGCAGTGCAGGCCGCGGCAGGCCGTCGACGTGGTGCAGGACGCGCTGCAGGACGGCAGCGCGGGCACGGCGCCAAGTGCACCGCGTCGTCGTCGTCGTCGTCGTCGTCGTCGCGGCCCACACTCCGCGATCTGCGCGTAGCCAAGGCGTCGCCAAGGCGTAGCAGGGCTATTCTCGCCTGCAGCCCAACAAGGACGCGCTGCACGCCGCAAGCCCGGCCGGCACAAGCCGCACAAGACTGTGTCTCTCTCGCACTCATAGGGCGTCCCGTTTAGGTGAGAGGGAGGCAGAATGACTCTCTGCAGGGCGGCACGGCAAAGCGGGGAAGCGCGACCCGCACAAGGTGACATCGTGCAACCGCTTTACAATCTCCCCTTCGCCCTCTCTCCCTCCCGCCTCTTTCTTCACTCTCCTCGAACCGCGAGCGGTGGCGGGGTCGAGCAGTGTCAGAAAGAAAGCGGCGCAAAAAAGCCAAAACACACACACACACGATAAATAATAGAACAAAACCACGACGGCTGGGTGGGCAGCCGCGGCGGTGGACCCAGCCGGACCCAGCCGGACCCAGCCGCACGGGTCAGACGAGCTGATGCAAGTTAGGCCCCTCCTGTTTGTTTTCATCACCGCCCCGCCCCGCCCGGGTGGGCCAGGCTGCCAGGCTGGCCACCCGACTTGCACGTGCTCGCACGTGGCGCGCTGAGGCGCGCCAGCCGGTTTCGAACATGACTGATGCAGTATCGGATGAACTTCGGCCGGTACAGAGACCGGGGCTCCCTCCCGCCTCCCCCTCCCCTTTACCGCGCCCGGCTCTCCTCTCCGCGGCTCCGCGCCGATTGGAAAGTAAATGAAGTGCTTTTGGGCCTTGCGCGGCCTTGCCGACCACACCGCCCGTCCGGCTTCTTTCCACGCCACTGGCGGATGTCTCTCCGCCTGCAGACTGACTCCGAGAGTCGCTTTCGTCGCTCTGCCTCCCTCGCACTCATGGGGCGTTGCGTGTAGGTGCGAGAGAGACAAAGTGACGACAAAGACTCCCGGTTGCGGCGGTGGCTGCCGTGGCGTGTTCGGGTGATAAATACCCCAACACAGCGAGGCGTGGCTGGCAGGGCGTGGCGTGCCGTGCCGCCAGATTAACGCCAAAACAAACACGGGGTGGCTCTGCACGCTCCGCGCGGCTCTGGCGCGGCGTCTCTTCCGGGCGCGACGCAGCGCGACGCAGCGCGACGCGGTCGCCTCACTGTGTCACGCCGTCACGCCTCGGGCGTGCGAGAGACACAGAGACAGAGTGCGCAATGAGGAACGGCGGCAGGAAAGAGAGCATCGCATAGCATCACGCGCACACACTGCGTCTGTTTGAGTGGCGTTGTGAGGCAACGCGACGCGCGTGGAGATGGGAGGGGA